ACAAGTGACCCATAGGACGGACTACTTTCTTACCTCAATCTTTGTGAGAATGGTCAATGTCAGTTCTTGGTATTCAGATGGATCTGTGAGCTCATCAATTTGACCGATGAAGATCATAGTTCATATATCTGTCCGTCCTATGCAACTATTGTTCATGTTCTCCCATAAGGTCTTCACAGAGGGTCAGCCCAATGAGCTAGAGACCTGCCTCATTTTCTCTTGATGCAATATGACCAGCCCTTATCTCCCTATCATATATTTCCTTTATGACATTTTAATGAAGGTGAGAAAAATAGCTAGCATCTGTATATCACTTTAAAGTTTGCAAAGCACTTTCACAACAACCCTAGGAGGTTGGTGCTATTATTATTCTCATTTTACAGTTGAGGAAACTGAGGCAGACAGAAGTTAACTGACTTGACCTACGTCATACAACTAGTAAATGCCTTTGGCAGTATTTGAATTCAGATCTTCCTGACTCCAGGCCCATCGTTTTCTCCACTGTGTCACCTTGCTGACTGTCTGTTACTCTTGTTTTTAAAAGTTCCCTACTTATTGTATGTTTACCTACTCAGTCTCACTATGTTCCTCCATTGCCTTCTCTGTGATATTCACTTTCGTTTCTTTGGAGAATGTTGTATGTCATGTTTTGCTGCCTTAGAACATCACTGGTAGAATGCTGATATTAAAAAGATGTGGTGTTCTGCCTGGGAAGATCTTTGTGTCATTAAAGGAGCTTTCTAGTTTCCTAAAGGCAATCCAGAGGCAGCCAGGTGGCTCAGTGGATAGAGTGCCTGGTCTGGAGTCAGGAAAGATCTGAGTTCAAATATGGCCTGAGACACGTACTAGCTGTGTGACCTAAGCAAGTCACTTAACTTCTGTTTGCCTCAATTCACTAGAGAAGGAAATGGCAAACCACTCCAGTATCCTTGCCAAGAAAACCCCATGGACAGTGTTGACATGCTATGGTCCACAGGGTCATAGAGAGTTGGATATTATGACTGAAAGGCTGAAGAGCAATAAAGGCAATTCAGCATATTCTGATCCTTTTCCACTCTAGGCCCATCTCATTGTCCATTTGTGCTGCCTGTTGTAGATATGAATGTGTTCTCATCCAGTTATTCTTCTCATCTCTTATTTTTAGTGACATTTCTACTTTTCTTATAACCAGATCTGGGACTGTGAGTTAGAGCTCAAGGCTGGTGCCTCTTGATGGTGAAAATGGTTTGTTATAGTTAGCTTTTCCATTTTTTCTTCTTTGTTGCCCTACTTCCATTCCCATCCTTAAGTATTGTTGGCGTGCTTTTGCTTAATTGGATCTCTTGGCAGACTTTCTTTGAAACTGGTTTTACCCTCAACTGTTTCTCTCTGCTTTATGAGATAATGCTGCATGTTGTCCTCATTCAGTAGATTTTGAGGCCATGTTGCCTTTGTCCTTGCTGTGTTTGGCAATTAAGGCAAGTATTTATTGATTAGGTGCTTTCTCAGCTCTTTGGTCTTATTGTGGCAATTGATTTTTATTGGTTAAAGTTCCTTATAAAATGAGCAGTATTGATGTAATTTCTATTGTCCATTTCCCATTTTATGTTATTAATTACTTGTTTAAATAATTCAAGGTTGAGATATTTCAAATATAAACCATATCTTTTTTGCATTAATTCTCCTAGTATTTTGCCACTTCTAAAATTTGCTCCGACAAGTTGGTGGTCTTGTGCAAACTTATGTGTCAATAATGAATCTTTTCTGACTATTGAAATATAATGTTTCATATTTTTGTATATGATGTTATTCGGTGTCAGGAAGCTATGAATTCTTTTCCCAAAGTAATCATGATTTAAAGGTGTGAAACTTCTGGGCAGTCTACAAATTGTTGGAATCTCTCATCCCTTTTTCCTGAACCTTGCCTTCTCATTTATTTCTTACCATCTTTACTTTTCCCCACCTTTTCACCAATTATCAAAATGTATGTTGATTTACTTTGGTGTAGGGTGGGGTATAGATCTTGTCAAGTTCTTCCTAAAACTTTTCTACTTCTTCATCCTCTTCAACTTTTGTTAGTGTGTGAGTTGAAATTATCCTTGTGGTCATATATTTTTTAAATCATCAGTACTTCAATATGAGATACCAAAAAGCCTTAACATTTGTTGTTTCTGTTTGCTTTTGGATGTACACTAAAACTAACATTCCCTTTGCCTCTTCGAGGAGAACCCATGAGTGTTCTTTTCGTTTAGTTGCAGCTTTCTTCTTGTTTTTTGTTTATAGAAAAATGTCAAGATTAATAGATTCACTTCCTCCAGCGTTATGTCTATTTGTCTTTGGATGAGGAACTCACATTTTGAGTTAGTTGTTGTTGTTCAGTCCTGGCAGCCTTAATTCCATATTTTGATTTATCCAGCTTGGCATTTCGCATGATGTACATGTAAGTTAAATAAATAAGGTGACAATATACAGCCCTGTTATACTCCTTTTTTGGTCTTAAACCAGCCAGTTACTCCATGTTCCATTCTAAATGTTGCTTCTTGGCCTGCATATATAGGTTTTTCAGGAGACAAGTAAAATGATCTGGTGCTCCCATCTCTTTGAGGACTTACTACATTTTGTTGTGATCCACAGTCAAAAACTTTAGTGTAGTCAGTGAAGCAAGAGTAGATTTTTTCTGGAACTCACTTGCTTTCTCCTTAATACAGAGAATGTTGGCAATTTGGTCTCTAGTTCCTCTGCCTTTTCGAAAACCAGCCTGCTCTTCTGATAATTTTTAGTTCACATATTGCTGAAGCCTTGCTTGAGGAATCTTAAGCATAACTTTGCTGGTGCGTGAAATGAGTGCAATTGTTTGGTAATTTGAGCATTCCTTGGCATCGCCCTTCTTAAGTATTGGGACATAAACTGATCTTTCCAATCCAGTGACCACTCTTGAGTTTTCCAAATTTGCTGGCATATCAAGTGCAGCACTTTAATAGCATTATATTTTAGGATTTTAAATAGCTCAACTGCAATTCCATCACCTCCACTAGCCTTATTGTTAGCAATGCTTCCTAAGGCCCACTGGACTTTATTCTCCAAGATGTCTGGCTCTAGATCAGCAACCACACCATCGTGAGATTCGGTTATGTTAAGATCTTTCTTGTATAATTCTTTTATCTATTCTTGCCACTTCTTAATCTTTTCTGCTTCTGTTAAGTCCTAATTCCCATTTGATCCCTACTTATGATGCACTGGAGAAGGAAATGGCAAACTACTCCAGTATCTTTGCCAAGAAAATTCCATGGACAATACTAAAATGATAAAAGAGATGAGTCCCTCAGGTTGGAAGGTATCCAGTACACTCCTGGGGAAGAATTGAGGACAACTACACGTAGTTTTAGTACTAATGAAATGGCTGGGCCAAATCTGAAGGGAAACTCAGCTGCAGATGCATTTGGTAATGAAAGGAAGTTCCAGTGCTGTAAAAATCAATATTGCATAAAAACCTGGAATATAAATCAGTGAGTCAAGGAAAGCTGAATGTGGTTAAATGGGAGATAGAAAGATTAAACATTGATATAGTGGGTATCAGTGAACTCAAATGGATGTGAATGAGTGAATTTAATTCAGGTGATCTCTATGTATACTATTGTGGGCAATAATCCCTTAGAAGAAATGGAGTAGCCCTCATAGTCAATAAAATGGTGGGGTTTGATCTCAAAAATGACTGAATGATATCCATTTGATTCCAGAGGAAACCATTCAACATCACAGTAATACAAGTTGGCCAAAGTTGATCAACTCTATGAAAATCTACAACATCTTCTAGAAATAACACCAAAAAAAGAGTCACAATTATCATAAAGGATAGGAATGCTAATGTAGGAAATCAAAAGATGATTGGAATAAAGGGCAGGTTTGGCTTTGGCATACAAAATGAAGCAGGGCAGAGACTTTTAATAGAGTTTTGTCAAGATAGCTACTCTTTTTCAAGTCCAAAAGGTGACTCTACACATGGACATCGCCAGATGGTCAATATAGAAATCAGATTGATTATATACTTTGTAACCAAAGGAAAATACTTTCATTTAACTGAAAGGTCAGTTAAAACAAGACCTGTAGCTGACTGGCTCATATCATGAGCTTCTTACTGCAAAATTCAGACTTAAAGAAAGTAGGGGAAACTATCAGACAATATAGGTATAACCTAAATAACTACCTTATGAATATAAGGTGGAAGTGATGAATGGATTTAAGGGATTAGATCTGGTAGTTAGAGTGCCTCAAGAACTCTGCACAGAGGTGTGCAGTTTTGTACAGGCGGCAACAACAAAAATCACTCCAAAGAAAAAGAAAAGGAAGAAAGCAAAATGGCTATCTGATGAAGCTTTATATACAACTGATGAAAGAAGGAAAGTGAGAGGTGAAAGAGAAGGGAAAGATATACCCAACTGGATGCAGAATTCCAGAGAATAGCAAGGAGAGATAAGGTTTTCTTAAATGAGAAATGTAAAAATTTATTAGAGTGTTCTAGCTCACTATTTATTCTGTGAATATATGTGTTAAGAAATGACAGTTAAAACTCTGAATGTTCCATTTGTTCATGTGCCATGTGATAATAATGATTGCTTTAAGGTTTGTAAAGAGCTTAACATAGATTCTCGTATATATGCTCTTGGTTTTTCCTCTAGAGTTTTGATTAACTAGTAAGAAAAGACTTTGGTGGTGATGGTAAATAAATATAAGATCATTTTTAGGATTTATGTTGTGGTCAGAAACTGTGGGCCGCCTCTGTTAAGGAGTAAAGTTAACAACTATACATTTGGAAGTCTAGAAAGAAATATGAAATTAGTGACTGAACTCTAAGATTTCTATTAAAGAACTTTTTTTACTGTAGCTTGTTCATACTAAATAAAAAGGACTGATTTAAAATGAAATTGTCTTTAGAAGGTATGGATTTATAGATGACTTTTACTACCTTTTTTGTTTTTGCTTTCTAGCCATGTTTTTAAATATACTTTAATTTTTTTTAATAGGCACTGAAATATAGCTAACTGAAGTTTTTCTGTGAAGATGGCAAACCTTTTGAGTGATAGTCTGCTGACTTATGTAGAAGAGGAAAATATTCCTGGCCTAAAAGCATTTCTAGAAAAATGCAAGGATGTGGATGAAAGAAATGAGGTAAGACAAAGAAACAGAATCTTATCATAGATTGTTCATTTAATTGAAAATATAAATTATGTATTTTCATTTAAAAATAGTTTATTATTTTTATTTTTCAAGTAACACCTATTTTTAAAATATGTTCCTCTCATTCTTCCCCCTTACTCAAGTGACCAAGTGAAAAAACAACAAAAAACCCAAAAAACTATCCCTCAATGTATAGTTACATTGTCCAGCAAAACAAATTTCCACATAAGTCATGTCTGAAAATGAATGTCTCTTCATTTTAAATTCATCACTTCTCTATTAGGAGTGAAATGGTTTGTTTTATCTTCATTCTTTTGGACTCGAGGTTTACCATTGCTGTGATCTTAATTCAGAAACTCTTTCTGATTTTTTTTTTCCTATAATGTCGATCATTGTATAAATTGTTCTTTTGGTTCCTGATTATTGTTTTCTGCTTTGATGCACAAAAGCATTCCCAGTTTCCTCTGAAATGGTCCATTTCATCATATTCAATAACATTCTATTACATTAATATACCACAATTTGTTTAGTCATTTCCCATTAGGAGAACACTACCTTAGTTACCAATTTTTGGCTGCCACAGAAAGAGCTGCAATAAATCTTTTTATACAAATAGATACTTCTCTATTTTTATTGATTTATTTTGGGGTATAGTCCTAGTAGTGATGTAGCTGGATCAAAGGGGATGTACAATTTGGTAATTTTCTCGACATAGTTCCAGATTGCTTTGCAGAGTGGTTAGATCAATTCACAATTCTGCCAACAGAGTTCTAGTATACTTGTTTTCTGACAGGCCTTCCAACATCTGTCATTTTCTTTTTTGTCATCTTTGCCACTCTGGTGGTTGTTATATGGAAACTCAGAGTTGCTTTAATTTACATTTCTACAGTTATTGGTGATTTAGAGCTTTTTTTCCACATTATTTTTGATAGCTTGTATTTCTTCTTTTAAAAATTGCCTGTTCCTATCCTTTGACCATTTAATCCATTGGGGAAATGGCTTTTTGTCTTATAAGTTGTAAATGATTCCTTTTATTCTTGGATATGAGACTCCTATCAGAGAAATTTGTTAACAGAGATGTTTTCCAGTTACCTGTTTCCCTTCAAAATTTTACTGCATTATATTTGTTTGTGTAAACACTTTTAAATTTTATATAATCAAATTTATCCATGATCCCTGTCATTTGTTTATTCAGGAACTCCCATCCATAGAACTGAAAGGTAATTTCTTCCTTGCTCTTCCAGTTATGTGACCATTGATATCTAGATTATGTGTCCATTTGGAGCTAATCATGCTGTATGATGTGTGAGTCATTGTTCTAAACTTAATTTGTGCCATTTGTTGTCGATGTTGACTGCTATCCAATTTTCCCAGCAGTTATAACTATCCAGAATTAAGTCATTCCATCAGGGCAGGTAGGTGATTCCATGGATAGGGTTCTGGCCCTAGAGTCAGGAAGTCTCACCTTCCTGAGTTCAAATCTGGCCAGAAATACTTACTAGCTGTGTTACCCTGGGAAGTCACTTAACCCTGTTTGCCTCAGTTTTCCCATCTGTAAAATGAGTTGGAGAAGGAAAAGGCAAACTACTCCAGTATCTTTGCCAAGAAAATCCTGAATGGGGTCATGAAGAGTCAGACACAATTGAAAAATAACTGAACAATAAAATCTCTGACTCCAAAGCTAGTGCTCTTTCCTTGACATCCTACTGCTTAGAGAGGGTTGATTCTGTAGGTTGATTCTATAAGTAAACTGGTATCATATGCACAGAACAATAACTTTTGTTTCTTTGTGCATATTTATTTCCTCATTTCTTTTTCTTCTCTACTGTTATATTTGACATTCAGCTTAGCATTTAGCGTCAGTGTTCATCAGGGATATTAGTCTATAAAATTTTCTGTTTTTGGAAATACATTCTTAATTTATTAGAGTTTTTGAGTTAGATTGCATGTTAGTGTTTAGGGTTGGCATTTTTTATTTCATGGATTGAAATTTGATTCCTAAATAAGGACATAGAGCCACGGAGTCAGAAGAGATCTTTAGGCCCTGCAGCTAATTAGCTGTGTGGCATTAGGCAATTAACTTAATCTTTCTAGATTATCTTAGTCTAGTCTATAAGATTGGGCTCTGGTGATTTCTAAGGTCTCCTAGCTCTGAAATGTATTTCTTTGACCTTATAAAATCATATAGTGGTTATATCATCTCTTTTTCCAGACTGATGAACATATACAGTATAGATGTCTGTTCTCTTCTTGAAAATCTCTGTCATTTGGAGACTCTAAAGTGTTCCTTTTATACCTCATTCAAAAGTTTTATTATCCTGATAGTCAAAGGTTAATTTTGTATGGATATTTATATGGATCTGTGTTTACATTAGTATGGTACAGATCATAGCCCTTTTACAATTTATTATTCTGTGCAATTCTTGTTCATGATTTTGTGTGTATCTTCCATAGAAAATCACTTAAAAATGTAAGCAGAAGAGGACCACAGAAAACCAAGGAACATTTTATATTTCTTTCTTTTTTGTTGATAGCCATGGCCAAAGTAAAGTGTATCATTGGTCATTAGGCTTCTTGTGATAGCCTTCTCTATATTTAACCAGGCTGATGATTATTGGACAGCAAACACAATTGAAGTTGATAACTGGACCCATACTGACAGCCTTTCTAGTTTAGTAAAACCTGCCAGAACTTTTTTTTTTTTTACTGACATAGCCTCTGAGAACCTGAACTCACAGCAGCCCCATAAGGCAGGATTAGAATAGGACTTTTGTACTAATAGGACTATTAATAATTGAAGCAGTATAAAAGATGCTATCAGGGAGTTCTGTGACTGGAAAAGGATATGGGCAAGTGGGCAGCCATGTGGCAAAAACAAAGGATGCCACTTGCTCCATTGGTATCTCAATTTAATTCAGTAACTATTAAGCTCCTACTATGTGCTAGATACTGTGCTAAGCACTAAAAATAAAAATAAAAAAAGAAAGACAACCCCTGCTCTCAAGAACTCACAATCCAATGAGGGACGACAATGCACAAGAGGAGACTGGAAAGTTAGGATCGCGTTGGGGGGTACACGATGTGAGGGCATCTTGTACCATGAAGTTGAGACCATGAAGAGCTGCAGGTGGAAAGTAAAGTCAGCTGCAAGGTTGTACGCTCTATAAAGGAAGGTTTGGGGTTGAGTTTAGTGTTCCATCGGCTAGCCACCCATTCAGAGGGCAGAAGAGGGTAAGGGATTTGGGAAAGTATTGAGTATATTTGAGGTTTTGTATCTAATTGCCACATTGTTAAGATAAATAGAGGAAGTTAATTGCCTTAATTTCAAATTATATTATAAAACAGTAATCATGAAAGGGGCAACTAGGTAGCCCAGTGGGTAGAATGCTGGACCTGGAGTAAGGATAACTCATCTTCTTGAGTTCAGATCTGGTCTCAGATGCTTAGTAGCTTTGTGACCCTGACCAATTCACCTTAACCCTGTTTGCTTCAGTTTCCTCATCTGGAAAAACAAAATGGAGAAGGAAATGGCAAAACACTCTAGTATCTTTGCCAGGAAGACCCCAAATGGGGTCACAAAGAGTTGGGTACAACTGAAAACAACTCAGCAACAAATCATGATAATTATTTGGCACTGTTAAAAAAATAGAATAGACCTGAGAAACAAGGTTAGGCAAGACCCAGAAGCATTTGAACATAGTAACCCAGTGTTAAATGAACTGAAAATGTACTTGTTGGGGAAAGACTTTCTTCTTGAGAACTTATGGGAAAACTGGAAAGCAGTAGAAATTAAGATTAGGACCATCACCATTTCCTCACATCTGAAATGCACTCCCTCCTCACTTTTGCCTCAGAATCCCTCACTTCCTTCAAAATGCAGCTCAAGCACCACTTTTTTACGTGATGCCTTTCCTTAACACCCCAATTCCTAATGCTCCTCTCTTTAATACCTTGTGTGTCTTTTTGTTTTTATAGGCACATATTGTCTCCTCTGGTGGATGTAAGCTGTTTGATAGCAGAAATTTTTTTTTTTAAATTTCTGTCCTCTGTATCTTCATACTGCTGGTTATGTAATAGTAACATAACAAATGATTATTGATTCATTGATTGTCCAGAACCAAATAGTAATCATTTCTGGTTTAATGTCAGCTTAGAAGGAATCTATAATTGGCCCCATGTTTAACAGTTTTATTGGTAACTTGGATAAAAGTATAGATGGTTTGCTTATCAGATCTTCAGATGGCACAAAGCTAGGAAAGATAGCTGATATATTAGATCACAGTCAGGATCCAAAAAGATATCAACTGGATTGAATTTTAGTTTGAATTTATTAAGACAAAATTGAATAGGGATAAATGTAAAAGTCTTACACTTGCATTAAGAAAATTAGTGTCATGAGAACAAATGGGATAGACGTAAGTATGTAGATGTTTGAAAAACATTGGGGGTATTAGTTTACTGTAGGCTCAATATAAGTGAACTGTGTGAGTCTTCAGTACATCATTCGATATATGTCCTTACTTATGGGTATTCTTTGAGTGATGTGGATTATATCACATTCATGCTGGTTCCTTGACCTATGTGACTTTTGTCCATTTAGTCTCACAAGGTCACTGTGGTTGAGGGGAGTTGGTGGTATTCAACATTCTCTTCCTCCAGCCCTTTTGAAATCATGTTAATACCAACAGAGCAAGCTGTCCATTAGTTTTCTCTCTTACTATGTGACCGTACTGAATTAAAAATAAGAGTGTATATTGGAACTAATGAATACTTATCACATGATTAACATAGAAATGAAGTTTTCTAGTGAGGCATCTTAAAAAAGGACTAATTTTAAAAATCATTTTTAAAAACATTTGTTTGATCTTCACTTGAATTCAGTAGATATTTGCTGAGTGCCTACAGACCCACTGTGAAACTTGAGATATAACTCTTATAGACATTCTTATTTGGAATAACAAATTGTAAATAGATTTCTTCTTTGGAAGACAGAGGAATTAAATTCTACTTCACAGCTGTTTTCATAGTCAAAATGAATCAGAACAAATAACTTCATTTGGTAAAGAAAAAAAAAGATGACATCAGTAGACATTTAAAAAGAGCTTTTATTATTTTATTGCCATAAGGTATGTGGTCTGTTCATTATAGTATATAACATAGTTGATTATGCACAACGTAGTGCTTAATGAATATAAATGAATATCGTATCTAGTCAGTGAATGATTACATCTCATTTGATGAAAAGTAGAATAATAATAGAATTTGCATCTATTTAGATTGTTTGATTATAGTTCCCTGTAAAGTATAGGGAAATACTGTTAAATATTTTGATTCTTTAACATTATTTTATTTTCACAGAAGTCTAAAGATACTTCCATCTGCTATTCTTCACCCTTTAGTACCTCAAGTAAAATACTTAGGCAATTTTATTTTTTCTTTCTGAAGATTAATACCCAGTAATATAATATCCAGTGTATGTATGAATGAATTGAAATACAGTAAACTCTTGTTAAGCTAGAATGCTAGTTAATTAGTGCTCTAGCTAACGGATTTTTTTCTGGCTGAGTGTTTATCAGAAAGCAGAAAACATTTTTTTGTTTTAATTCTTGTTGAAAATCTTTCATGATTTTATCCACTTTCCTGCATTAGTAAGAACCACATAGTGAGAAAACTCATGCATTTCACACAGAATTATTATTGTGATCAGATGACACAATGTGAATACACTTTTGTATATTGTTAACATGGCATGGACATGGTAAGAGTAGTTAATAAAGTAATGCGACTGATTTTTAAAACCTTTATCAGAATTTTATCTGAATGAGTGTTATCCCCTTTAAAGTTAGTTTCTTTGAGGCCAATCATCCCAGAGTACCGATAATGAATGATACCTACCTCCTTAACAGAGAGAAAGTGGACTCAGTTTGTTGGATGAGATAAACATTTTTGGATATAACTGTCGTGAGAATTTGTTTTGCTTGAGTAAGCATATTTGTCAAAGGTTTTATTTTTCTTGAAGGCTTTGGGAAATGGAGAGAATAAATAATTGTTAATTGAAAAAAATAAAGATAAAAAAAGAAAAAATAGCTAATTGCCTTGAGAGGTTATATACTTATTCCAAATAATGCTGACATGGCTTAAAATTACTGTAAATTTTGTGATTCTATTTTGGAATTTTCTTTGGAGCCTGCAGTGCTTTCTTTGAAATATTAAAAATTATGGCAAATCTTCATTCTTTCAAGAGTGTATTTGATTTTTTGCCAAAAATTACTAGGTGTCAGGTGTAATTAGTAAAGTAGGTGAACAAGCTGGGAAATCTTATTTTGTGTTTGAAAAGCAAATGTGACTATAAAATTATAAACCAAAATTCTTGTTTGGGAAACTGGTTTTGAAGATATTTCCAAGGGAGACATTTCCAGAAACACTTAAAAGCATAAGCGTACTTGAAATAAGTAGATAGCCTCTCAAAGATACTGCTTTAAAAGACAGCAGAATGGAATATATGGTATGTTTGTAACAAATCAGTTTTATTCATTTATTACTAGACCCCTCCTTGCTGATAAAAGACCTTGCAGTGACCCAGGATGATTATTTTTGAAAATCAGTTGATTTTGTTTCATGTTGTAAATATAGGAGATTTAATATTTTGGGTTTAAGTGTTGTCTTTTTCATAAGTTATCCTTTAACTTAGTCCCTAATTTCAGCCTATTTTTGTTGTCATGTGCTGCTCTTTCTGAGCCTTCTGTGGACAGTATTTGAAGATTCGTGGACTTACCACATTAAATGAATAGCCATTGCTAGTCCTTAATTTCTGCTGAATTGCTTTCCAAGTTTCCTATCAGTTTTTAATCTGAGCATATCAATACTAATACTGCACACTTATGCTCCTCCTTGAAAACAAACAATGAGGAAATAGAGATTTAGAGTGAGAAAGTAGAGACCATTTATTCCTTCCCCCTCATTTTACAGGTGAAGAAACAACCTCAAAAGGTCAAATGATTGCCTCAAGTTACACATGCAGCAGAGCTGACATTTGAATAGGGTTCCTTTGATCCTAAATCTTATATTCTATTTACTATACAACATATACAATTTGAAAGATATATAAATTCTTTCAGATAATTTTAGATGACAGAAATAAAGACATAAAGAGAAATAATGCATAATTTATCAGAATACATAAGCTAGCTTAAAGGACAAGTGGGAGTAGAGACACAGGAACTGAACTCCAAAATACTAAATTGAGCACATCCAAGAAAGGAAGGAGTGTACCAAAGATGGTGCTAGGACTAGGTTTAAAAAAAAAAATACACTCAAAAGTGAGGGAAGATGTGAAGGGTAGTGCCTTTGGCAAGATTAAAAAAAGAATAATAAAATACCTTTTAGGGTACAGATGGACTGTATTTACCAGGGTTACTTGCAATACGTTGTACGTATGGTTTATTCTTAAAAAGTTATGGAAAATATAAGAACTTCAGGGCTAAGATTGAAATGTGAAAATATTGACTTATTTTTATATGAGAAAAGAAGGTGGAGTCTTTGTATTATAAGCCAATGATATTCATTGAAATTCCTGGCAAAATTCTGGAATGTATTGTTAAAGAGATGACTTGTGAGCATTTAGTCTTCTCAGACTAACCTAATTTAATTTAGACAAGTTTCTTAGATTGCTAGATCAAGGGAATGTTCTACACATCATATATCTGAAATTTAGCAAAGTATGGAATGGCAGAGATGAAGAGAAGTGAAGTGATAAATTAGTTGGTGGTTTTGGAGCAGTTTGAATGATCAGACCCAGAATACTGATTAAAAGGTAATGTGGTATATGATTGTGATAGAATACTACTGTACTATAAGAAATGATGAGAAGGTGGATTTTAGAAAAGCATGAAAATGCTTGCATGAAATAATGAAGAGTGAAACGAGCAGAACCAAGAGAATGTTGAACACAGTAACAGTTATATTGTTAGGAAAAAAAAAACTGAATGACTAAGCTATTTTGAGTATTATAAATATTTAAATCTACTACAAAGGACCTGTGAAGGAATATGCTATCCACTTCCAAAGAAAGAACTGATAAATACAAGTATGTACAAGTATGCATAGTATGGTTTTATACACACACACACACACGAATCAAATAGTGCCCTTCTCTAGTGTGAGGTGGAGAGGGAGGTAGGTAGGAAGATAGCTTAGAGCTTAAAATGTAACAAAAAAAAATTAAAAAAAAAAAAGGTAATGTTGATATCCCTTTTGATCCACCTATACAACTGCTTGGCCTATGCCACAAAGAGATCAAAGGAGGAAGAAATCCTATATGTACATAAATATTCATGGCAGCTTCTTTTATGGTGGCAAAAAACTGGAAACTGAAGACATGCTTCTCAATTGGGTAATAGCTGAACAAATTATAGTTTATGAATATAATGGAAATCTGTTATGCTATGAAAAATGAGGAAATGGATGATTTTAAAGTGACATGGAAAGACTAGAATGAACTGATGTAGAATGAAGTGAGCAGAACCAGAATAACTCTTAATATCAATATTATTAAAGTGTACAATTTTAAAGTCTTATATAAACTAATGAAGAATGAAGTGAGCAGAGCCAGGAGACCAATTTATAAGAACAACACTGTAAAAACAAACAACTTTGAAAGCTCTAAGAACTCTGATTATAACAATGACCATGATTCCAAAGGATTGATGGCAAAACATGTTATCTGTCACCTGACAGAGAGGTGATGGAATTAGGGTGCAAAATGAGACATTTTTTAGATACAGCCATTGAAGGAATTTTGCTTGACTATACATATTTTTTACAAGAAGTTCTTTTTCTTTCTTTCTTTTTTTCTAGTAGGGCAGGGGATTGGAGGGAGAGAAAATGGATTGAAATTAATAAAATTTAGTTTGGTTGGACAGAGGTCTTTTGAGTGCAACAGTGGCCTGTCTTTAGCACACATTTATTCAAAATTTTCACAAGTGATTTAGATTGTCACAGATGACCTACTTACTAAATTTTCAGGGGACTTTAAACTTAAAGAGAAAACTAATCCATTGGCTGACAAATGATGGCTAAAATGATGAGCTAAGTCTAATAAAATGAAATTACATGGGGATAAATGTAAAACAGTATAGTTGGGCACAATATCAGCAGAATAAATGCAGGATAGGGGAAGCAAGGCTAACATTTTTTGTGAAATAGGTCTTAGGTTTAGAGGCAAAATTAGCTTGTTGTAAGGAACTCTAAAAATTAGGGTAATAAAATTTTTAACCACAGTAACTGTGAAAGGCCAACTGTCCCAAGTCACGGAAGGGTTGCAAGTGTGCATTAGTGGAGAGAGTAGTTATATCAAGAAATCACAGATATTGAAATATTCAATTTCTGAATCAAAGCATAATGTCTAGATAGCTGGAATTTTAATCTTGCCTTCATGAAAATCCTATGTATGTTTTATTTGACCTGGCATTTTAATGAAAGCCAGGTTTCTTGACAAGTCATGTATTTTTCTTTTATTCCAGTGTGGACAGACTCCATTGATGTTAGCTGCTGAAAATGGCAATCTTGAAATAGTAAAAGAGCTACTTAAGAATGGAGCTAATTGCAATCTGGAAGATGTGGTATGAAATTCATTCATGTTCTCTTCATTATTTCTTTGCTTAAAAACATTTATATTTAAATAAGTTTAAAATTTTATTTCCATGTGTACAAATTAAATGCCTACCATGTCGGTCCTAGTTTTTTGTTCACATTTTTTCTTTGAATTTATACATGTGAAAAGAAATTATAGTAGAAAGTGTATTTCCTTTGTTTTAAAGTGTCTGACAGCTGTTTTTGTCCATTCCTGAAGTAAATCATTTTGGGGCTTCTGTTTAGTAGATGGTGAATCATTTTCTTAAGCATCATTACATAGTCTTTAATTTTTAGTTATAGTAAATGATTACTTAAGTTAGTATGCTGTTAGAAATTTAGTGAAATACCAGAACAAGCAGTTGTAAAATCATTTCTAAACAATTATTACTGAATACTTTCAGGATACAGTAGACAAATAAATCTTTATATTGAGAGAAGTTGCTAATCAAACCATTCCAATGTCCACTTCATTTTGTTTGTAGTTTAAATATTTTTCTCAATTTTGAATGAAGTTTGTTATTTTTGAAATGGTAAAATGTGTGTCTTTTTTAAGGATAACTGGACAGCCCTTATATCAGCAGCAAAAGAAGGTCATATAGCTGTTGTGAAGGAGCTACTTAAATGCAATGTTAATTTGGAACATAAAGATATGGTACGTATATTTCCTAATATGTTACTAATTATATGCGTTTTAGAATCATAGTCTTTTATTTTTAAATAAATGAAATTATAGTAAAGCATTTTGAACTATGCAATTACCTATAAGATGTAGTAACATTTTATCCATTAAATCTATAGGAGTATAGACCTTTTTAGAATTTTTAAGCCAGTGTCAGTTTATTTGAGAGCTTAATATTCTGACATCTCTTTCAACATAGCTTATTGTCCTTGGAGATTTTTTCTTTATAGGACTGCTCTGCTGCATTTTAAAATATTTGGAAAAATTACTTTGGTTTTCTACAAGTATGAATTTGGGAGGTAGAAAGTATAGTATTTTCACACTGTCCCCTTTAAAAAAATTGTCATTGTTGAAGATTATAGCTTTCAAGATACTATTTTAGGATTTTTCATAATTTAGTTCAGTTTAGGCATGCCACACAATTTTCAGTTTTACAGCATGATTCATAATTCTCATTAGGTGGTTTTAACATTCTTAGAAAATGTAGAAATGAACAAAGGAAATTCGTATTTGTTGGATTTGAAAATGTTCAGTTGTTACTTTAATCATTATCAAGTTTAACTTTTTATTTTGTCCAATTATCTTCCTTTGTGTATTAAACCATCCCCTGCTAATTAACTATAAAATTGGTCTAATTGAAAATTCCTGGAAATGTACATGTGTAATTTGGTCCAAAACAAATCCTGTAAAAACTTTGTTTAACTTAAGTTTAATATAAATATTAAGTTAATATTTATATTGCTGCTTCTCAGTCAATCATAGAACATATATGAAAGGCTTACTATGTTCCAGGCATTGTGCGAGGAGCTGGCAATAGGAAGACAGAAATGAAATAGTTCCTGTTTTCAAGGAGCTTATGTTTTTTCAGGGAGACAGCATATACAAAACTGAAAACAATAGGTGATTCTTCCAGGTACTGTAGTAGGGAATTTCTTGCTGCATATTGGAGAGGTTATGTATGGCCCTGCCCAAATTAAAGCAAGCTTCACTGTTACTGAAAGTAGGTCCATAGCACTGACTTGTCTGGACAATGGAGACCCCTATTGTGGGGATTGTGGTAGATGGAAAATTCTTGGATCCATGTGGATAATCCATTAGAGGCAGCCTGGTATAGTTCAAAGAATGTTAGATTTGGGATGAAAGAACTTGGACCTCTTCCTTACCGCTTGAGGCTTTGAAGCATGCCTTTTATTATGATGAATTTCTTTTGAAGTCTGGTGAAGCCTCTGGACCCCTTCTCAGAATAATATTCGTATATGCGTAAAACACTAAAGAAATGAATTATATTGCAATACAGTTATCAAAATATTTTAAGAACAAGGTCTTGGACTTTAGGTCCAGAACTTCTGGTATAGTGGAAAGAATGCTAGATTTGGAGTTGGGAGGGTCATTCCTGGCTTTGTCACTGTACTATCCTCCTCAGCACCCTCAGTTACCCCTCCCTTCTGATTGGAAGGCTGCAGGGGAGAGCAATAAACTCCTTTTTTTGGTGAGGTAATTGGGGTTAAGTGACTTGCCCAGAGTCACACAGCTAGAAAGTATTATGTGTCTGAGGCAAGATTTGAACTCAGGTCCTCCTGACTCCAGGGCCAGTGCTCTATTCTATCCACTGTGCCAACTGGCTGTCCCAAAGTTTGCTTTTTTTTTTTTTTTTTTTGTGCTTTTTGGTGAGACAATCGGGGTTAAGTGACTTGCTCAGGGTCACACAACTAGTAAGTGTCTGAGGTCAGATTTAACTCTTCATTTTCTATGAGCTTCACTGCTTGATTTCAGCTTCATGAACATTAATCATGTCCCCAGCTAGATATTCTGTGGTAGCCACTCACCCCCACTCCTTTAGCTTCCTTTTGTATGTTATCTTCCCCCATTAGATTGTAAGCTCCTTGAAGGTAGGGACTATCTTTTTCTTATTTGAATCTTGCTTAGCAGAGTGCCTGACATGTAGTAGGAATGATGTTTATTGTTGTGACTATGACTACCCGTGTGACCTTGGATGAGCCACTTAAACTTTTTGGGCTCCATTTTTCTCAGCTGCAGAATGAAGGATTTGCAGCTATCAAATAGGTAGTAGTAGTTAAAACTGATGAAATCAAGTTCCTTGAAATCAGGGACTGTTACGGTCTTGGTATCTTCAGTTCTTAGCAAAGTGCTTGGCACATTATAAGCCTTTGATAAATGATTGTTAACTGACTGAAACCCATTGCTGAGGAGATTGTGGAGATAGGTATACTCATTGATTACTGTTAGAATTGCAAACTTTTAACTTTTTGAAAAGGATTTTGACAGTTTTCAGTGGAAATTTTTAAAAAATCATATCCTTTGACACAGTAATTCTCTTGTTGAAACTATACCCTGAAAGTTTTAGCAGGAACAAAAAATGGGCCCATGTTCACAGATTTTCATAGAGGCATTGTATAGAATTACAGTAAAATTAGGGGATGGTTAAATAAATTGTGGTATGTTAATGTAGTGGAATGCTTAAATGCAACTAAGATAGACAAGTATGAGGAATACAAATGAGTCCATGAACATTTTCAGTTAAGTAATGAGGTCAAAAGCCAGCTGTACGGGGTTGAGAAGTGAATGAGAAGGAAAGAAGTAGGAGAATGTGAGGAGCCCATTTTTCCTAGATGTTTGAATGCTAGTTTAAGAATTACTCAAATGATGATTTTTTTTTTTAAGATTGAGGAGGTGTGGTCATTCTGTCTCTTTACCTCTCTGAGCCTTATTTTTTGGGGCTTTCTGGCTCAGAGTGAATGTACAAAGTAACTGTTTCTCTTATGGCCAGCAACCTTGAGGGTCTTCTCATCCCAGTTTGATTTTTTTTTTTTATTAAAGGGGCCATCCCTTGACTCATTCCTTTAAGGCCTGTTCACTGAATGGGCATTGCCTCACTCAAAATGAGAACCTGAAAAAACCTTAATTTAAAAGGGCCAAGGCCCCCCACTGCATCCTGGGCCATCTCTAGTTGTCCTGATCGCTGTCTGGCAACTGGACCCAGATGGCTCTGGAGGAGAAAGTGAGGCTGGTGACTTTGCACAGCCCTCCCTCACTCAAATCAAAGTCAATTTCAAGACATGTCATCATCTCCCTGATGTCATGATCTTTGAGAACAAAGGAAAGACCACAAGAACTTTGAATCAGTTCATATAAGTCTTTCTGGGTTTTTCTGAAGTCATCCTGCTTGTTATTTCTTATAGCACAATAATATTCCATTACAATCATATACTACAACTTGTTCAGCTATTGCCCAAATGATAGGCATCCCCTCAATTTCCAATTCTTAGCCACCATAAAAAGAGCTGCTATCTGTGAATCAAAGAATATGCATAGTTTCATTGTTCATACTTCCAAATTTGTTCTCCAGAATGGTTGGATCAGTTCACAACTCTACCAACAGTACATTATTGTCCCAGTTTTCCCACATCCCTTCCAACATGTATTATTTTCCTTTTTTGTTATTTTAATGGCTGTACTTTATATTATAAAGCCCCACCTAGTAATTCCATCATTCCATAATTAACTGAATTCTAATATGAATGGATTTAAACATTTAGCAATTGTAAAAGTGAACCAGACTTTCAGACCATCAGAGGAGTGCAGAGGGGTTTTAAATGTAACCATGGTTGAATCAGTCTTAAATCTAATTGGCTAAATAGTGCAGAAGAAGCTGCCTAGTTGCAGAGACTATATAGAATTGATTGCTTGTGTGCTGTTAGGGAGATATCTCCAGTACGCCAGATTAACACATTAATATTGCATGAATACTTTGAAAATGTATTCAGATGCAGCACCATCCTTCTTATAGTCTTATAGTCATGCATATCTTGAAACCAAATTAACCCATTCTGTGATCTTCAAATTATGGGATCATTGAAATGCTGTAATAGTATAGCTCTGGGACCAGATAGCATTAAATACTAGATCTGAAAGAAGATTGAATCAGAGGGACATATTTTAGCCACTGTTTTTAATATATCACACAAATACAACTGTGTCCCAAAGAAGTGGCAGTTGTTAATAATTATTTTAAAATATAAAAAAGATAATAGGAATCGGCCTTCCAACTGTAGATCTATATCCCTGGGTAACATTATGGATAAGGTTTATGCCTCCATCTTGTCTAAAGGACTCATCAATTGCGGTATGAGAAATGGGTGCATCAGTAGGAATCAAAAGGGCTTCATGCCCACTGACAGCAACAGTGAACATAATTTTCTATTGTAGTCTGTCCTGCATGAAGCCAAACATAAAAGGAAAATGTTTGGGGTAGCCTGGCTGGGCAGTGTAAGTGAGATTGCTGTACCATATGGGCAAGATTGCCTTTTTATGAGACCAAATGTGTGTCCATATTGATTGATGATTGGGATAAGAGGATGCTCTTTATACAATTTGAAATACAAAATCAGGGGACCTTAGTTATATCTGAGGAAAATACCTATTCTGACCTTGCAGTCCGCATTTGGGTTCCATGACACAAATTCTGTCAAGGATGTAGTAACTAATATGACTATAGACTTAGACCTCACGGATAAGTCTAAATTGGCTGCTTGGCAGAAAACTTTCATCTTGCCCTGCATTTCTTTCCACCTTAAGAACTGTCTGGTTCTCAAGAGTGCCCTCAAACTTCTGTACAGAAGTTTTTTTTAAAATGCCAAGAGATGACTACAGCTCCCTCAGAGAGCTAGTACTGAGCTTCCGTATCTCCCCTATAAAATGGGGTGAGTGAACCTACTGCCCTAGTTGTAGCAGCAGACATAAGTCAGGTGATTCATGGGATGAGGCTTCTGGCATCAGCTGATCTGAGTTGATTGTCCCGCCATTCTCTTAGCAACACAGCAAGGAAAAGAATCAAACATGACCCTCAAACAGAAGACTCAACTGTTGATTTAAATGGCTCCATGGAAGAATAATTGGGAAACGAGAACACAGTAGCATTTAACATCTCGTCTTGGCTGTGGAGATGACTATCACCTAAAATTTCAGTTGAGTGGAGAGCAAATAATAGTGTCCTTGCTTTGTGGCTGAATGATAGTCTATTGACCCTAAAGGAGTGGAGAAGAACTTGAAATAAGTGCTGAGATATTATTTTAGACAGTAGTTATTCTGCAAACCTGACTAGGGTAAAGTATAATTACCTTGATGGCTTTAGCTTCAAAAATTTTTTGAGGGAGGGATCCTTTACCCAGTTCACGGACTGGTGATCTATTCACAGAGCCAAACTGGTCTGTGTTCCATTGAATGGGACTAGGAGATTTGGTTGTGTAGATAAGCAATATTGTTTATGTGGGGCATCAAATGAAATACTCCATGTGTCCTCCTCTGCCACTGTGCCCCTCACCTGATTGGGGCTCTTATGTGATGGCACAGACATTTCTTAAAGAGACCTAGTGCCATTAAAGTACCAGGAGAAGCAAACAAATTGAGATTTGGGTGAATTTAACACTTCCAGAGCTGAGAGAGGCCTTCAGATTGGATTTAGTAATCTTAGACAGTTTTCTGTACTAACACCATAATGGATGGTATCATACTCTTTGAAAAAAAGATATTCTGCCTTTCAGTCAGCCAGAGCCAGCAAAATTGAAAAATATCAGATAGTTCGTCAGGCTCTGACCTAGGAAGGCTCCAGGGTATACTGCAGCATGCTGATAGGGCGTTTGGAATATGAGATCCATATTATGTTCTCTAAATTAAAGATCAGTATAAGGTATGCTAGCCTGATGAACAAGTTGATGGTACAGTACATACTCTTATCAGGTGGAGCAGGGACATGTACACAGAGCATATAACCAGAGTTAGCTAGTATGCAGAATGAATTCTTGAGACGAATATAGTGAGAAGCAACTATGTTTCCTTATTAATTTATACCCAGTATTCTATGAGTTTTCCATGGGATCTGTTTAATGATTAACGTTCATCTCTTTGGATTGTATATTGCATTTTCACTATTATGAGGTATTTGATTGTTTAACCCTATAAAATGTAACGTGATTGAAATGCCTGTAAACCTGTTCACTTAACCATTAGTATTTATAAACCATAATAATTTAGTTTTTGTTATTTTATAGATGAGGAAACTAAAGCTCTGGGAATTGAAATGATTTGATCAGGATCATAGAATTAAGAAGTATTAAGTTATGGTTTGAACCCAGTTCTCTTGAGATCGAGTCTAGTGCTTTTTTCATTATAGTCTGCTCTCTCTCCACAGTCTTACATGTCAGTATTACTGGATAGCAGGAGTCTTTATATCCACCACACCTAGTACTTAATAGACCTTTAACAATAAATGTAAGAATTTAATCTCCTAGAGAGCAGGATATCTTTTTCGGGAGGGTTTAAAGAGATTGGTCCAAAGTCATGATATGTTACAACCTTCTCTAAGGAAGAGGAGCTTCAAAAGCTTGATATGTTGTGGTGTCTTGTAATCTTTAGAATGCCTCTGGATCCAGAGTGAGCCATGTAATGTAATGTAGCAGTAGTGCATCTAGTCAGGTGGGTGTGCTTGCTGAGAGGGAACAATTATTAATACAACATATTCTTCTTATTGCAAGTTCAGTGTTATAGAGGAGTGCTTATGGCAACACTGTAAGGAAAGGCAGTGGGATGTAATGGAAAGGGTGCTAGATGTTGAGTACATTGTACATGGGTTCAGATCATAGGTGTACTCCTTATGATATCATGGGACTTCAGTTTCCTCATCTGTAAAAAGAAATGATTGAATTAGATTATTCAACCCTTCTATCTCAAAATTCTATTATCTGGAAAATCCCAGTAGACTATAATACTGTTAACAGACCTGATTCCTGTGTCTGTACTATTGTTGGTTTTGTGATAACCTCAGGAAAATAATTTCAATTCTGCATAGTATTATATCTGCTCTTTACTCTTCCACTCCTCATGATGATTTTATTAGAATTAGTGGTAGCTAATATATGTAAGTACTTTTGTGTCATAGACTAAGTGGCCTATTGATAAGTCTCTACTGGAAAAAAATAGAAGTTTTTATAATGTTCTTTGTTTTCTTTAGGGAGGATGGACAGCTCTTATGTGGGCATGTTATAAAGGCCATACAGAAGTAGTAGACTTGCTCCTTTCAAAAGGTGCCAATCCAAATGTCACTGGACTGGTAAGCTTTCATTAAAAATCATTTGCAAAAGTAAACAATCATATTTCTCTGGATACTAGAAATTGATTAGAGTTTATCTTTTCTATTACATAAAAATTAATGTTAATGAAATAGTTGTTCCATTTAAGAAAATTTCATCACAGCTGCAGGATAGATAGAATGCTAAAGATTATCATGAACAACAAACAATGAGATGCTGCTAAAAAATTTTTTTTCTAATTATTTGCTAGCAGTTACCATAAGACTCTAATGTTATTTGTAAAAAATCACAAAAGTAAAATGCTAATATGTTCAATAGTAAGTGATCTCACCAGGCATGGTAGCATATACCTACAATCTCTGGCACTAAGAATGCTCAGTCTAATGAATTACTTGAATATAGGAGTTCTGAGCTGCTGAAACCTGTTGGGTATCTACACTAAGTCTGGCACCAGTATGATGATCTCCTCGGGGAGCGTGTGACCACCAGACTGCCTTAGATGGGACAAACCAGCCCAGGATAGAAACAAAGCAGGACAAGCTTCTGTGTTGATGAGTAGTGGGATTGGGCCCATGAATAGTTTGGGCGAGATGAGGAGTCTCAAAAAAAAAAGTAATTTTTGGAGTTTAATTAATTTGTAATTCCCACTAATTATAATGAAAAGTAAATTCCTTGTGTCTTAAGCATTTAGAAATACTCATAAATTCTAGATACCATGTCAGATTTTAGTGGAATTTAGTACTTCTATACTATGAATGTTAAGTTATTTGAAAGACTGATAAAGAAAGCTTTTATATTCTTATGACTTATACCTGCTGAGCTAGTTACTCGAATGAAATGTGTTTGGTACATAAAATCTTTAAGACTGATTGTGTCCTTTTAATGCTTTTGTTAATAATTCAAGCTATTCCTCTGTATAGAAAAGTGTGTTTGTGGGGGATATGCAATATGTAGATTTAACATTAGCTTTTTTGACATTTATTTTGAGTATTTTTGATAACTTCTTACTAATTACATAAATATTTGCTAAATATAAGTGTAAGACCATTAATATACAAAATATATAACCATAAAAGATTATTTCTTAAGCCTAAGGTTTTCTTTATGTTTTCAATGTTTCAGCAATACAATGTATATCCAATCATTTGGGCTGCTGGGCGAGGTCATGCAGATATTGTATATCTGTTACTGAAAAATGGAGCTAAAGTCAATTGTACTGATAAGGTAGGTTTAATTTAAAGCTGTTCTTAATTAGAGTTGATATCATGCCCCTCTTGGTGTTTACAAGAACTAGGACGTTACTGTGTGCACGGTTTTGAGGGCGTTAAAGACTGATATTCTAGGTATTTGAGAGAGAAAGTTTATTAAAAGCCTGAAAAAAATTGCAGAGTATTATTACCAAAAAGTAATAAAGAATAGTAATAGCTACCAACACATGCCTAAAGGATTTCCTCTAGGTCATATCAAGTCTTAAAAGAGGGTAAGTGTCAGAGTCAGGTTTCCAGTGTTGCTTTTCCCCCACAGGTGGTGGCACAGTTATTCCCCTAAGGTGGTGGCAGTAGAAACAAAAAGGAAAGAAATCAAGTTAGACTTACCTGGCCTTCTTGATTGCATGAGAGAGTGAAGATTCAAGGATAATTCTGAAGTTTTGAGCTTGGTTGACTGAGAGAATTATGCCATTAAAAGTCCTAGGAGACATCTGAAGGAGAAGGTGGTTTTGAGAAAAAGTTGATAAATACACATTAAGCTTGAGGTGATGGTAGGATATTTTTATGGAGATATATAGTAGCCAATCTAATCTTCAGCATCAAAATGGTTAATTAAGGTTGGAGATGTAGCTTTTGGAGTCGCATAGAAGTGATAGTTCGATCTGTTAAGGGGCACCCCTTGTCTTCTTGAGTTGTCATATTTTCCAGAAACACAGGACCCAGAGTATTTCCCACCCCTCTCCCCTGAGTTGACATAATTTGATGTTTACACCCCTGCCTGGATTCCCTGTATGTCCTTAGAAGTTAAACCAGCTACAAAGACAGGAACTAGTCAGTCTGCTCCAGACTGAGAAACTGTGCAGCTGGGACCCTTGTAGATAAGCAGACTATCCTGTCTTTGTGTCTAGCAGTACCCAAGGGAAAAGAATGCTGCTTTTGCCATTGCCTTTTTTCTCCCCTTCCAGAGGGGATTAATCCTTTCTCCATCCCTACTACTTTCTTCTTCCCATGCATTTAGGAGGAGATTGCTATCCCTCCTCCTCCCTTTGTTTCAATTTCATAAATATACAGGCTTCTGTTTGGGTTGTGAACTCCTTGCACCTGGAGTTCCATATGCATGTTCATTTCTCGTGTAATAATCCATTTGTAACACATATCTTGTGGACTTGTGATATTTTTTTTTTGGTTAGCAGATCTGTGAAAGTTGATATAATTTCTTTCTAATTGTGTTCTGTTAATACCCGTGACTTAGGGCAAGTCACTGAACCTCTTTTGGACCAATTTTCTCTTCGTGAAATGAAGGGATTAGACTAGAAGAGAAGCAGAATAGGTCACTGGAGAATGGTAGTAGAGTTAAGGGCAGAATTTTTCTTTTAGGATGAGGAAACTTAAACATATTTCTATTCAGAAGAAAAAGAATCAGTAGAACTAGGGAAACTGAAAGTATAACAAAAAATGGTTTAATTAATGAAGCAAGGCCCTAGAGGAGTCAGGAGAGGATGAGGATCAAGAACGTAGTAAAGTAGGGGTTAGCTTTAAGAAGAAGGTCACTCTTACTCTCTTGAGACAGGAGGCAAAGGAAAAGAATTTAAAAGATGGAAATACTGAGTTTTCAGTAAATGGAGTAGGTGGAATGATGAAGGATCTTGTACTACACATCCCTGATCCTCCCAGTAGAGCAGGAGGCAAGCTTATCTGCTGAGAGTAAGGAAGGCAAAGGTGGGGTTGGAGGATTGAGGAATGTGAAAAAAAAATTTGGAATTACAGGGGAGAAAAAAATAGGGAGTCAATAAAGAATGAACAAAAGATTTACCAAATAATAATAAAGGCCTAATGGAGACATGAATTTGTATGACTCAAGTGATGAATGAAGTTCTAAGATTGACATAAGTAGTATAAACAGTTACATAAATCTTTTCAAAGTATGATTTTAATTGAATTGAATGTGAATTTTTTTTTTACTGACATATACTTAATATATACATGTTAATAACTTTAAATTTACATTACAGTATGGAACCACCCCTTTGGTCTGGGCTGCACGTAAGGGCCATTTGGAATGTGTTAAGCACTTACTGCATATGGGAGCAGATGTTGATCAAGAAGGAGCTGTAAGTTGTGTGTGTGTGTATGCGTGTATATGTGTTAAAACTGGAAGAGCCATAAGACATCATATTTTTCTTTATCAAAGGAGAAAGGAGATTAAATTTTAGGCAGTGAAAATAAATATCTCTGTATGTATATGAAGCTGTTTTCCACATTTAGATGAAATTAATATGGAAAAAATTTTCTTGTAAAATAGTCACATAGTAGATTACTTACATGTTGTGTTTTAAATTTTTGCATTTAGGAATTTAATGTTAACATGAATATTTTTATAGCCTAAAGTTAATTTTAGTAAGTGGCAAACTTAAAATTTCTAAGTAAAGCAGAAAAATAATTCAAATTATTTTCAAATCCATAGTTTCAAAGATTATTTGTATGCTACATTAAAAGACTTTCTTAAACATTTTTAAATGAATATTATTTTTATATTTGGCAGCGTATAGCATATATTGCCTTCTGAGTAAACAGATTAAAACTGGCGTAGAATCGAAGGTGAAACTTTGTACGTTGTTAAGCGCATCAGCATATGTCTTTTGATCATCCATTAGTGACAAACATTATGCTACATAATACTTTGAGATATTGAAGAGGAACCTAAGATTATTTTCCCTTGAAGAGTTTTAATTGGGACATATGCTCCATGGACAGTATAAAATAGCCTATAATGAAATGCTATGAAAATGTGTTATGGGTAAAGGTATAAGTATAGTGCTACAGGAATTTATAGGAGAGATTACCATAATTTTTTATTGTTATAAGACTACCATAAGGATAATTCACTGCCTGATTCTTTGATCCAGTGTTAGCTTCTTGAGGGTCAGCTTTCTACCTGCCCCAAATAAAAATAAAATTTTCTGAGAACTATAACATGATTTTAGGCAATGGCATTATAACCACCTGTTTGCATAAGCCTTTGGCTACTTAATTCAGTAAACATTTATCATTCACTTAGTTTTTACATGTTACTCTGTTGGTATCTGATGATGTATAGTTGGATAGGGTAGACTTTGTTGGATGAATAAATGGATATTTTGCATAACTATTGATAATATTCTATAGTTAGTAACTGCTGAAGCAGAGGTCAGAAGACAGCATGATTTTTAAAATTAAAGAACATCATGGGCATTATGGAATTTGTTGAACCCTCAGTTCATATTATGTTAATTGGTTCTTGAAACCTGAGATCTGGATAATTACATTAACAACTCATTTTTATATATGTTACAGGTTTATAAAGTGCTGTCTACCCAGCCTTGAGAGGTAGAATCCAAAGAATCACAGGATTCAGACTTGAATTCAAATTTAACCTTGAGAGACTGAATGACTTTTCTTAAGGTCATAGTCCAAAGAGATCACAAATCCTCATGTGGGAATTACTTAACTTAGGTAGAGAAATTAAAAATCCCTACACTCTTTTTTTTGGAGTCAAAGCTTGAGACAAAGTGAATTCCTTGTAGAAAGACAGGTGTTTGGGAATGACAGTCACTCTTTTAGAGTACAAAATAGTATATTGTCATGACCTGAAAAAGAGCGCCATTTCAGAAAAAGGAGAGTTGCTGAGACACTAATATGGTTTTTAAATTAATCTGAAAGATAAAATGTATTATATTTCTTGATATTGGTTTGTAACTGTTATATTGATATTCTTGAATGTTTTTCTCATTATGTTTTATAAAAAAACATGATAGTAATTTGAAATCAATAACTTATTTTTGATTTTTAGTTAGAGCATATTGTCACATCTTGATTATGTATGTCAGACTTTGATTTAACAAAACAGGTAGTTTTGATTGTTATTTAAAACTTGATGGTATTATAGGCCTTTATATATTAACTCTTAAAACACAAGGTATGAAGAGGTAATGAACTCAGTAATGAATCTTTAACAACTGAGCATTTTATTTCTTTATGATTAGTAGATATATTGCAATACCTGCATCAATGAGATCACAAAGCCATTAAAATATCATTAATATTTCTTTGGTTTATTATTTCCTTGAGCATTTTAATACTAAAGGACTTTTAGCAAGTATATCAGATTTTTGAGAATGACAGTCTTAGAAGTGTAAGTGGTCTTCTTCAGTATGCACTAATAATCTTTTTTTTTTTTAATTAAAGAATTCAATGACTGCACTTATTGTGGCAGTAAAGGGTGGCTACACACAGACAGTAAAGGAAATTTTGAAAAGGAATCCAAATGTGAATTTAACAGATAAAGATGGAAATACAGCTTTGATGATTGCATCAAAGGAGGGTCACATTGAAATTGTACAGGATTTACTTGATGCTGGAACATATGTGAATATTCCTGATAGGGTAAGTGATGAGTCATAAAAATTTCCTTCTGAAGAAGGGTAACTTCATTAACCAATGAAGTTGATTAGAAAATATCTTACATACTTGTGTTATATATTCCTCAGATGTTTAGTATATTTTTTTTTGCCATCAGTTAACAAATTTCTTTTAATTCATTTCTATTCACCAAGAATCTATTAAGTTTCTGTTATGCGTTAAGCATTATATTAGGTGCTGGGATTGTGTGTTGTGGTTTGTCCTTCATTTTCGAAGAGGACCATCACATCAGGGAAATGATGGCATGACTTGCAATTGACTTTGATTTGAATGAGGGAGGGCTGTGCAAAGTCACGAGCCTCACTTTCTTCTCCAGAGCCATCTGGGTCCAGTGGCCAGATAGCAATCAGGATGACTAGAGATGGCCCAGGATGCAGTGGGGGACCTTGGCCCTTTTAAATTAAGGTCATTTCAGGTTCTCACTTTGAATGAGGCAATGCACATTCAGTGAGTAGGCCTCTTTAAGGAGTGAGTCAAGGGATGGCCCCTTTAACAAAAAAAAAAGACAAAAGTCAAAAAAGAACTAGTCTTTTTTTTTGAGGAGTTCACATTCTACTAAGAGAAACAGCATGTATGCAGAAAATGCAAAATTGTTTGCTTTTTTTTGACCAAACGTGATTTTTTTTAAGTACGGGGAGCTCCTAGAAAGAAATGCCTTTTTTTTTTTTTAAAGTACAGATGGGGAAATTACAGTCTTATAGAGGGCCCTGGGTGCACTGAGAGTTTAGGTGACTTGCCCTGAGTCACACTGGTTTTGTATATGTCTAAGGTGTATCTTCTTGATTTTATTTTTTTTAATTAATACATTTATTTGTTTTTAGTTTTCAACATTTACTTCCACAACATTTTGAGTTCCAAATTTTCACCCCATCTCGCCCCTCCCCCCACCCCAAGATGGCATGCATTCTGAATACCCCTTCCCCTAGTCTGCCTTCCCTTCTATATCTCCTCCCCTTCCCTTATCCCCTTTCCCTTCTATTTTCCTGTAGGGCAGGATAGATTTCTGTACCCCATTTCCTGTACTTCTTATTTCTCAGTTGTGTGTGAAAACATTTTTTTTTAAACATATGTTTTTAAAACTTTGGGTTCCAAATTTTCTCCCTTTCTCCCCACCCACCCTCATTGAAAAGGCAAGCAACTCAATATAGGTTGTACATGTGCAGTTATACAAAACACTTCCATAGTAGACATACTGTGAAAAACTAACTCTATTTCCCTTAATCCTGTCCTGCCCCCCCATTTATTCTTTCTTTTGATCCTGTCCCTCCTCAGAAGTATTTGCTTCTGATTACCCCCTTTCCCAGTCTGCCCTCCTCTCTATCATCCCCCTACTCTCTTGTCCCCTTCCCCACCTGTTTTCCTGTAGGGTAAGACGGATTTCCACACCCAATTGAGTGTGTATGTTATTCTCTCCTTAGGTGAAATCCTATGAGAATAAGATTCACTCATTCCTTCTCACCTTCCCCCATATCCCCTCCACTGTAAGAGCCTTTTCTTTTCTGGTTTTTTTTTTTTTTGTGAGATAATTTACCCCGTTCTACCTCTCCCTTTTTCCTTCTCCTAGTATAATCCTCTCTTACCCCTTAATTTTATTCTCCAGACATGGCGCCTTCATCTTCAACTCACCCTGTGCCCTCTATCTCTCCATCTCTCTCTCTCTCTCTGTCTATCTGTACATACATATAATTTATTCCTCTCCAACCACCCTAATACTGACAAAAGTCTCATGAGTTACAAATATCATCTTTCTATGCAGGAATGTAAACAGTTCAGCCTTAATAAGTCTCTTAGGATTTCTCTTTCCTGTTTACCTCTTCATGTTACACTTGAGTCTTGTATTTGAAAGTCAGATTTTCTATTCAGCTCTGGTCTTTTCATCAAGAATGCTTGAAAGTCCTCTATTTCACTGAATGACCATTTTTTCCCCTGCAGGATTATACTCAGTTTTGCTGGGTAGGTGATTCTTGGTTGTAATCCTATCTCTTTAACCCTCCAGAATATTATACTCCATGCCCTACGGTCCTTTAATGTAGAAGCTGCTAAATCTTGTGTTATCCTGATTGTGTTCCCACAATACTTGAATTGTTTCTTTATGGCTGCTTGTAATATCTTTTCCTTGTCCTGGGAACTCTGGAATTTGGCTATAATATTCCTAGGAGTTTTCCTTTGGGGATCTCTTTCAGGAGGAGATCGGTGGATTCTTTCCATTTCTATTTTTCCCTCTGGTTCTAAAATATCAGGACAGTTTTCCTTGATAATTTCTTGAAAGATGATGTCTAGGCTCTTTTTTTGATCATGGCTTTCAGATAGTCTAATAATTTTTAAATTCTCCCTCCTGGATCTGTTTTCAAGGTCAGTTGTTTTTCCAATGAGATATTTCACAGTTTTCTGATTTTTCATTCTTTTGGATTTGTTTTACAATGTCTTGATTTCTCATGAAGTCACTAGCTTCCAATTGTTCTATTCTAATTTTTAAGGGAATATTTTCTTCAGTAATCTTTTGGACTTCCTTTTCCATTTGGCCAACTTTGCTTTTTAGGGCATTCTTCTCCTCATTGGCTTTTTGGACCTCTTTTGCCACTTGGGTTAGGCTATTTTTTAAGGTATTATTTTCTTCAGTATTTTTTTGGGTCTCCTTTAGCAAGTTGTTGATTTGTTTTTCATGATTTTCTTGCATCACTCTCATTTCTCTTTCCAGTTTTTCCTCTACTTCTCTTACTTGCTTCTCAAAATCCCTTTCGAGCTCTTCCAAGGCCTGGGACTGATTCATATTTTTCTTGGAGGCTTTGGATGTAGGAACTTTGACTTTGTTGTCTTCTTCTGGTTGTATGTTTTGATCTTCTTTGTCACCAAAGTAAGATAATAGTCTGACTCTTTGTGCGCTGCTTACTCATAATCCCTGCCAATTACTTGAGTTTTAAACTCTTTGTTAAGGTCAGAGTCTGTTTCCAATGTGGAGAATTTACTGTCCCAAGTTTTGGGGGTTTGTACAGCTGTTTTCAGAGATACTTCTAGGGATCTGTAAATTTTCAGTTCTTCCAGGGTGGTATGATAAGGGGAGAGGTGTTTCCTTCCACTACTACAACAAACTCCACCACGCCAGCACTCCTCTTCGCCCCAGGACCGCCCCTCAGAACTGTGACCCAGATCCAAGCACAGGCAGAGCAAGAGATTCCTGCCTCAGTTCTGGCAAAGAGATCCCTGCAATCCCCCTCTGATCAGCCACTGGATTCCCCCTCAGTCTGTGGGCCTGAAGCTCAAGAGGCAGCTGCTGCCCCAGAAGCCGAGCTTGGGACTTGCGGCTGAGACCAAGCTCCTTCTCTCACCGGAGTCACAAACTTTTCCCACTGACCTTCTAAGTTGTCTTTGGAGTTCATGGGTTGAGAAGTCTGGGAACCGCCAGAGCTGCCTGTGATTCAGTCCTCTGAGGCCTGCTCCAGGTTCACTGTGGCCTGCGTGCCCACGCGGAACTATGCTCCTTTCCCCGCCAGGCGCGATATACCTTTCTGATCAACCATCCAGTTTGTCTTGGGCTGGAAATTTGTTTTACTCTGTCTTTTTGTTAGTTCTGCTGCTTTAGAATTTGTTTAGAGCCATTTTTTAACAGGTATTTGGAGGGGTTTGGGGGAGAGCTCAAGCAAGTCACTGCTTTCACTCCACCATCTTGGCTCCGCCCCGCCTATCTTCTTGATTTTAAAGTGAGCTATCTACTACCATGATACCTATCTCTAAATGCAGTGTTTATACATAGTCATTTAAAAATACATTTTGAAATCAGCATCATTAAAAACTACATTTTATGCCAAAGTTTTGTGGTTTTGTTATTTTAAAAACTTCATGTTATATTAGTATGTGATTACCCTTACTTTTCTTGCTCACTTTACATTACCACAGACATCAGCAATTTAATATTAATTGCTCTCAATCTAATAGTTTAGTTTAATTGTCCTAAGTCGGAGTATTTAGTATTATGTTAAAAGTGTATTTAAGGAGGCAGTTAGGTGATGCAGTGAATAGAGCACTGGTACTGAAGTTAAGAGGACCTGAGTTCAAATCCGGCTTCAGACACTTGACACTTCTAGCTGTGTGGACCCTAGGCAAGTCACTTATCCCCGATTCGTCTCACCAAAAAAAAAAACAAAAACAAACTGTTTAAAAGATTAACCAGTAAGAGGTTAGAACAAAACAAAACGCCTTATTTTTTCAAGTTTAATAAGTATTATTTTCCACTTCTAGGTCCCTAATTAGAATAATTGCCTTCAATTCAACTATCAGCTTTATCAATGCCTTGTATTCCACACTTACAGATGCACATTTTGTTTCTTTTTTTGGGGAGGAACAATTTTGAGTTTTTGTTTTTAAAGTGAGGTCTGCATGTCATCATAGAGTGCCCAGATAGGAGGGGGATGCTGGTAGTCCAAGGGCTCCTGCCCACAGCAAGTATTCCTTTCTCCATTAGCTTTGTTAACCTTTGAACACTGAAGTAAATGGGGACACCAGGTCTCCTGCCCTATCACTCTATGTGGGAGAATGGGCCTTCATTCTTGAGGATTTTAGAGGCCTCCCCTACCCCTCTAAAAGAACCTACTACTGCTGATGGAGAAAATGTTACCTCTTCTTTGGTTTCCTTAACCATTCTAAGAAAACAACAATGTCTCAACCCTCTGTTACCGCTGAGTGCCAGAGGACCAGGTTTGGAAGTGTTTTCACCCAAGATCTTACCTACTTGTGTGGAGGGACTACTTTCCCCAGTCCTACTTTACTAAACTAATGTAAGTAACAATATGTCACTTCTCTACTAACCATCTCATGCCCAGACTTCAGATCTAGAATTAGGACCTCAGGTACCAAATTAGCCAAAAGCCAAATCCATCTCATTGTTCTGGATGTTTTCTGGGTGTGTATCATCCCCCGTGCCTGGAGAGGAAGCAAAAGAACTGGAGTAATTTTTGAGCCCAGTTGGCTCTTGGGGATCTAGTCTTTAGGTATTTACTGACCCAGACACTAAACTTGGTAACTTTTCCTAATTTAATTCCCTTTTTTCTGGAATTGGAGGGAGAAGGTGCCACCTTCTGAATCTGCCAACTTCTTTCAACTAAGGATCTTGACTTGTTACTTGCCCCGTTGCACCTCATCCTCCCCAGTCTTCCTGATTTTAGTGTTGCCAGCTTCTGAGATGCAAACCCTCTTCTGATCACTCCTTACTTTTTCATCTCCATTCACTCCAGTTTTTTCTGTCTTCAGTCTTCATCCTCTTCTAACCTTCCCTTCTATTATGTGTACCCTCTGTAATCCTGATACTATCATTTAAAAACTCTCTTTCATCCTAGATTTCTTACTCTTACATTCTTCCCATCTTATGGCATTTATGGAAATTTGGATCCCTCTAGAAAACAATGCATGTTTGTCCTATCGCTACAGTTTGGGGCATTCCTTCTTAATCCCCTAACACAATGGGCCGGAGGAAAGATCAGATATACTTTTTCCTCATTGCCACTTCCAGACCATACATTTGCACTGTCATTGAACAACTTTTCTTACTTTTAAGGTTCACTTCCTCTGCCTCTGACATCTAGTAAAGATTTTTGTTGAAGTCTGTCAGCTTCCAGATCTTTTCTTTTCTCAAGGAGTTTCTCAGATACGGGTCTGGCTTATAATTTTTCTTCTCTACTCTAAACCTTACCCTCTTTTTGAAGTATTTCGGTATACACATTATTCATGTCACTTTGAACACCATTCTTATGACTTACATTTTCTCTCTACCTCGGCCACCTACAGGAGTAGTCATATTTTATGTTTTGCCATCATCTATTACTAGCTCTTTTGTATGATCTTGGATTCTGAAAGTCTTTTCTCTAAACATAACTTATCTTTCTATTGCTCGCTCAGCTTCACTTCTCTTAAACATTCTTACCACATCATCCAAGCCTTCTACCCTTTCCTCTTCTCCCAGTCTATTACCCTCCATCTGGCCTTTCTTCTTTTCGTAGTCTGGCTCTCATTGTCGATCATTTCACTTGACATTTTTGCCTCCCTCAGAATCCCATGTTCATTTGCCTTTCCCACTCAAAGCTCTACCCTGGGCTATCTGTACCATTCTCTTTTCTCTGCTACTCCAACAGTCTAGTGAAGCCTATAGACCCCTTTTTTTAAATGCTTCAAATAAAATAAATAAGATTACAAAGGAAACTAATTTTGTTGAAATAAAGTTATCAAATTATTTTTAAAAATTCAAGTTCGTGGACCCTGGATTAAGAACTCTTGTACTATCATGTTATTGAACATTGCTGGAAAAAGTCATGTAACTCTCCCAACAAGATCCATTATGAATTTATGTTCTTATCTCAGCTGGGCCCTTATTGCTTCTTTGCAGTCTTTTAATTTTTTTTTTCTGATTGAGTCCTTGTCACATACCCCACAATAGCTGCATTAAGTTTTCTCTTCTTTCCTCAGGACTCCCCCCCCCCCCCATACTACCTTCTCTCTTAAAATAGAGAACCTCTCCTTCTACTGAGAAAAAAGTCCAAATGGACATAATGTGTCTCTTTTCTCCTCTTGCAAACCTTAAAACACCTCTACATCCTTGCTCATTTTTTCTTTTCCTGTGGTCTTTTATAAAGAGGTAGGGGGTCCTTCTTCCCAAAGTTAATCCTCCTTGTGCCTTTGGTATTATCCTCTCCTCTCTCTTTTGGCCATTCTCTTTCTTTAATTTAAAATTTTTCCTTATCTATTGATTCCTTGTGGCTTGGTATTGGGGATAGAACACTACAGTCAGGAAAACTTGTATTTGAATTCCAATTCAGATACACTTAATCTCTCTGATCCTCAGTTTCCTTATCTGTTAGAAAAAAGGGGGGGGGATTGTAATAATAACACCTTCCACATAGGGTCATTATGAGAAGTATATGAAATAATGTATGTAATATACTTTGTAAACCTTAAAAACTATACAAATATGAGCTATTGTGTTATGTCACCATGCACATACCTTTCTAACCTTAAGAAAATATGTTCAACCTTGTTTCAAGCCATTATCCTATAATAATTCTACCTTTACAATTAGATTACTAGAAAGAGTCATCAGCAGTTATTGCTTCCATTTCTTCACTTCTCCTTACTTTTCTACCTCTGTATTCTAGTTTCTAACCCTGCTGTTGAACTGAAACTCCTTCCTAGGATTGGCAGTGATAGCTTAACAGCTTAATGTGTGTTTGCCCCCTCAAGTCTTGTCCTATTTGACCTCTCTTCAACTTGGCTACTCTATAATACAATTAAGATTAAGATCCCCAAGACCAGGCATAAAAGTTAAAAAAGAAACAAACAAAAAACCATTTTCTGGGATAAAATAGTGGGTAAATTTTCTTAGTCTGGAATTTAAAGCCCTATGAGAGCTCATCTGTTGTAACATCTTTTCTCAGGAATGTGGGACACTTAATAGGTTAAATATCTTGCTCTTGATCACTTAGCTCATATGTGTCAGAGGCAGGACTTGAACCTTGGTCTTCCTGACTCGAAGACCAGGTCCGTATCTACTATTATGGCATGTTGTACTTCTCTGCCCTTAGAGACTAGCTAACCAAGCTCAGTAGAGTTGTGTATCAGATACGAATGAGTAGATTTTGTGGAGACGATTTAACAAGCACTCCTGTGAATAAGGTGCACGAACCTTAGCACGTGGACTTTGTGACCCCTTTTGGCTTCTTAGACGGCTCTTTTGAGGGCTTTGTCTCCTGATTCTTAACAATTCTGGATAGTTGATGTTGTCATGTTGAGGTCTAGATAGGTGATATATCATTTTGATTTTAGTACAGATGAGCTATGGGAAGCTTATCATAAGGAAATTTTTTTTGTGAGTTTTTGTGTCTGTTCTTTTCTAGGTAGTAAAAACATATTGTAATAAAGACGAAGGCCAGCTGACTCTTTCAGCTAGGTCTCATTTGGCATTAAGCTCTGTTTATCATCATGGTTCCAAATCTTCATGAGATCTCAATGGACAGTTCTTTGAGCATTGAGTCAACATTGCCCTGAAATCACTGCTATCTAAATTGATACAGAACTCATTTGTAAACCAGAAAATGAACTTATTAATTTTCTGTATGGGATTTCTCATTCACAAAACTCAAATATTTATTTCTGTTCTTCAGGATATTTATTCTCTTCTTAGTACCAGAGTAGTTGGGAGAACCAAGTTAATGATCAGAAATTACATTTTGAAAATAGTTATGGAGTAAAGAGAGTCATATAACCATATGAGGAGTATTTTCATCAGGATGTGTGGTAGCCTTCTAAGAAGTTACCCTTCTGTACTATATGATTGTAGGGGAGGGTATGGAAATAAGTCCCCCTTGAATGGGACTGAGACATGCTGACAGGGTGTTACTATCTAACTCTTTTTTCTAGATTTCATGATGACCATTACATTTTTTTTGCACTTATCATTGAATCTTTATTCCAACATATTTTTATCATGCTATAATTTCCAAATTTATGTTACATGTATTGGCCGCTGTGTCAGTAATGATAGTTTGCCTTTCCCTAATGTTATACTCTGATGCTTCATGATTGCATAAGCAATTACTGTAGTTTCTAAAGCTGTACCAGCAAGATACAAACTTTAGCATGTTCTCCCAAAGTGAAAAAACTTCAGATGAGTGTCATCCTAGAACCAGCCTTGTTAAATTTAAAGAGGCTTATAAGAAGGTTATCCACCAGGTGGTAAACTTTTGATTACAGCATGTTACAAAACCGCATTCTTGGACGTGGAGGAATTGCAGTCTGCATTGGCAGAGGTAGTATCTAGTCCCAACGAACTTTGAAATCTTTTAAATTATTAAAGATATATGCTTTGCTGCAAACCAGATTTTTAAGAAAATATGTTTTATTAAATTTCAAATCTAAGTTCATTCTTTCTCATCATCAATTCATTATTTTTCAGAGTGGGGACACTGTGCTGATTGGTGCTGTCAGGGGTAGTCATGTTGAAATTGTTCGAGCCCTCCTACACAAATATGCTGACATAGATATTAGAGGACACGTAAGTATAACTACATTATGTTTAGTTAGAATACAAATGTGATATTTTAGCAAACATCCACTATCTTAAAAACCAAAAACTTTAACTTGTAAAACCTAGCAGGTTTTTGTGTACTTTTGTTATTCTAAAATTTCTTTGGAAAAAATCCTGTGAATCAGATATAGGAGTAAGGACTGGACTTGTGATTTCATTGTGATAAGGAATTCCCACCTGAAGGGAGTATTCTCTGCTGGTGCAAATCTTCTCTGCAGTTTATAGAGAGTTGCCCATTGAATTGACTGAGAGTTAAGCAGCTTACTGAGAGTCACATAGCCAGCATTTGTCAGAGGCAGGCTTTGAACCTAAGTCTTCTTGGCTTTAACCCCAGCCCTCTATCTGCTGCTCCATGCTATCTGAAATAGGGTTATTTTTATTAGCTTGTAGGATTTTTTTCTTAGGATAAAAATTAGAATTTATCAGCTTCTACCCATTTTAATTTCTACATTTTTTAGCATATGCCTCTCCAGAAGAGTTGTAATGAGCGTCCATACTAAGAAAGAAAAAGGTAGAACCTGTGCACAAAACATATATCTGAATGAGACTTATTGGAGGGTATTCTTTGTGACTAAGACTGAAAGACTGAAAATGCTGTAGAGTTTGAAATCTGAATCAGATCATCTTTGGTTGAGAGGAAGGTAGCAGTTGCAAAGATGGTTTGCAGTTTTCCTTTTTGTTTGGGAAAGGTCAGTGATATGTCAGTGATACAGGCTCAGTGATATTTTACCAGTTACTTGGTTACCTGGGATTCTAGGGCATCGAGTGTTGGGGAAACAGGGTATTGTCTGTTACCATGTGAGCAGTTCTAATCTTTGAAATCATTGAGAATTGTAATTTTAATTTAAGTAGGATGAAGGACACAGAATTATAACGCTCATTTTATTTCACACTACCGAAGGTTTATTAGCAAGGGTGAGAAAAATGTATTATCTTTGATCTCAGGTGCTGTGGGGCACCTGAGATTATAAGAAGGTTATCTACCAGGTGGTAAACTTTTGATTACAGCATGTTACAAAACCGTATTCTTGGACGTGGAGGAATTGCAGTCTTCATTGGCAGAGGTAGTATCTAGTCCCAACAAACTTTGAAATCTTTTAAATTATTAAAGATATATGCTTTGCTCCAAACCAGATTTTTAAGAAAATGTGTTTTATTAAATTTCAAATCTAAGTTCATTCTTTTGGATTTAGGCTGATACTTACTTATGAAGTATGAATTTTTGAAGATTCGAGGGACTGTCTTAGCCAGTTTAGTAGTATAAGGCAAAGATAGAGGAATCAATTAAATCTGTAAATGTATGGAAAATAATAAACAGTTTGTATAAGTGTGATTATCTCAAAGGTGTTTTCTCTCTCTTTAACTTGGTAACCTGGTTGTTAACCAGAAGAATGACTTCAGGATGTCTTCTTATATGAAAGGGTACAAGCTCTTGGAGAGAGGGGAGGGTTTACAGTTTTCCCTTGGGTTTTTATATGTGAATGCTGTCTTAGATTCTGGAAGAAAAAAAAAAAGGATGCAGGGAAAGTAGTGGAGAAAAAAACTAATACACCAATGATTTTAATTTTAGGGGGAAAACTATTAATATATCAATGTATAAATGTGCATAAGCACCTGTATATTGTCTAAAAAGCAGTGTTAATTCACTTACATTCACCAAGGAAAGATGGTACTTGCAGTTACAAAAATCCTAAATACTGAATATTATATTAAGGGCTACAGCAGTAGGAAACCAATGCAATGAATTGTGGCAGTCATACCATAGCTGACCTTACTGCATAGTGCCATGTTATATTTTTATTGCAATATGTCTCAAAGGCACATAAAGACTGTGTATTCTGTCTCCATTCATCTGGGTAGAAATATATTTATTCTAGCTATTCTTTTGTACTACTGTCATTGAACATGCTTCCACAGCATTTCTCTTAAACTTTTGTATTTAAGCTCCCATCTTTACCCCAACCCTTTCTCACTCAGCAAGTGACTTCCTTCTACTCTGCTGAAAAAATTGAGGTCCTAATTTCTCATCACACATTAATACTGCTTTATATCTTCACCTACCATTTGCTTTACACGCAGAGAATCAGGTTGCCTTTCTCCTTGCTCATTCTAACCACTACAGTTGCCTCCTTTCTGTCTCTTTTAGGAGCTTGCTCCAGTGATTTAGATTCTCCCTATCAGCTAACTCCTTGTCTGTTGCCTACAAACATGCTCACATATCCCCTTTTCTTAGAAAACCTTTATTTGACTCTTCCAAACCTTGAAGCTTTTGTCTTAAATCTTCCCTTTGTTTCCCTGCTGGATTCCCAGAGTATTCTATACTAGTTCCCTCCATTTTTTACCGCTCTTTATTAATTCTAACCCTTTACAGCCAAGCTTTGAAGTCACCACTGTACTGCAACCACTCTCTCTAAGGAGACCAGAGACCTCTTAATCCAGCCAGTCAACAAGCATTTATTAAAAGTTTACTATATACTGTGTATTGTGCTAAGGGATGAGGATACAAAAAAAGGCAAAAAACCCAACCCTCCACCCACCCCCCAAAAAAACCCAACCCAGTCCCTACCCTGAAGGAATATACAGTTGAATAAGGCAGATAATATGAGAAATACAAGGTAATTACAGAGTAGGTAGAAAGTAATCTAAGAGAGGAAAGCACTAGCGACTGGAGGCACCAAAATAGGCCTTTTATAGAAGGTGGGGTGTGAACCAAGCCTTGAAGGAAGCCAGGTAAACTTAAGAGCTAGAGAGAAAGAGATGGAGCATTGTAGGCACGGGGGACAGCCAGAACAAAGTCACGGAGATGCTGGATTAAACATTTTGTGTTAGGAACAGTAAGTAGACCAATATGGCTGGAGGAGAGCGTTAGAATACTAGAAAGGTTGGAAGGTGTCAAGTTATGAGGAACTTTAATTGTAAAATGGAGAAATTTCTGTTTGATCTTGGAGGTAACAGGAAGCTCCTGGAGTTTGTTCAGCAGGCTAGACTTACATTATGCTTTGAAAAAAAATTTTGGCAGCACAATGGAAGGATTGGAATGAGGAGAGACTTGATACAGGAAGAATAATTAAAAGGTTATTCTGGTAATTTAAGTGACAAGTGTTAAGGACCTAAGCTAGGTTTGCCTTTCTATGATGGGAGAGAAGGGGACATATATAAGAGGCATTGTGATGGTAGTAATGATAAGAATTGACAGTCGGTTGCCTATGTGGAATGAGTGAAAATGGGGAGTGTCATAAGTCTGGGTGAGTGGGAGGAAGGTGACGCCCTCAGCAGTAGTAAGGAAGTTTAGAAGTGGGGAGGTTTGGGGACAGAGAGATACTGAGTTGTCTTTTGGACATAATGAGTTTGAGATATCCAGTGTACATCCAGTTTAGGTGTCCAAGAGGCAGCTTAACAGAGAGGTTAAGGTTGCATATGTGAAAATGGAAATCAATATGGCTGTAGATATTTGAACCTTTTGGAGCTGATGGTATCATCAAGTAAGATAGTGTCAAATACAAAGAGAAATGGGTCTAGGACTGAGCCTTGGATATCACCCACAGTTAGAGGGTGTGGTATGGATGAAGAACTAACAAAAGGAGGCTGTGAAGAAGCCTTCTGACAAATGAGAAAAGAACTAGGAGATAGCATTGTCACCAAAACCTAGAGAGGACAACATCCAGCAAGAGCAGGTGGTCAGTAGACTCAAATGTTGCAGTAAGGTCAGGGAGTATCAGGCTTGAGAGTAGGTCATTAAATCAGTCAGTAATCACTCAGGAAATATTAAGTATCTACTATGTGACAAGCACAGTGCTAATGCTTAAGTATTAGATTTGGCAATTAAGAGATTATTGGTAACTTTGGAGAGAGTTGTAGTTAAATAGTGAGTATAGAAACCAGCTTACAGAAGGTTTAGAAAGAGTGAGAAGAGAAGTTGTGGAGGCACTGCTGAGAGACTTTTTTCAAGGAGTGTAGGCACTAAAGTGGGGAGAGATAGAGAATAATAGTGAATGGGATTAGATGTATCAAGTGACGGTTTTTTAAGGATGGCGCAGTCATGGGCATGATTGTAGGCAGTAGAAAAGCAACTAGTGGACAAGGAGAGATTTAAGATGAGGGACTTTTATAGAAAAGATGGGATGGAGACAGGTATTAGCTGTGTGATTGTGAATAAATTACTTAATCTCTGCCTGAGTTTTCTTGTCCGTAAAATGACAACTCTGGTACTTACCTTATAGGATTGTTGTTAGGCTCAAATAAAAGGTACACAATGCATACTTTAAAGTGAATATTTATTATTTCTGCCATGAATGTTATTAATGATATTTAATATCCCCACAATACCACTTTTTGCATTATGTTTTGTATTAAAATATCTTCTTATTTTATAGGATAATAAAACTGCTTTGTATTGGGCTGTTGAAAAAGGCAATGCAGCAATGGTGAGAGATATCCTGCAGTGCAATCCAGATACTGAAATATGCTCAAAGGTATGTGTTTAGCTTAATAAAAATTCAAATAAAACAGAAATATTTAGTTCCCTTGGTCTCATCATATCATTAAAAAAAAAAAGTTAATGTTTTTTTTTTATTTCTCTTATAATTGAAAATCTTCAGTCAGATACTGTTCTAGTGAAGGTAGTCCTAATTTATCTACAATAAATTATGGTTAATATCATGGGAGCACGTGATTAAGAGTTGCACAGAATGGGAAGGTGTAGATGGGATTGGCATTGTTGGAGGGAATGCCCCCATCAATATGTATACAGATATATTTGAATATTGGAAAGTAACTGTGGAAAGTATCCACGTTGTGAGTATACAGTTCTGGTCTGCAATATTTTTCAGATTTACATTTTATTGTGTCTGCTTGGTAACTTGAAGTGTATTTTAGCAATAGTAATATAATATTATATTATTATAATATGATAATTACAACATTATAATGTATAATAATATATACTACAATAATAATTACATAAGTAATTATAATATTAATGAATATAAAATTAATTTCATGTGGCTTAGGTAAAGAAAAACTTTTATTTTAAGGCAAATTTTTAACATGAGACCATCTTTAAACTGAACTTTGTTAATCAGATATACCTCCTTTTTTTAGGATTTGTAAATTCTTTAAGTTCATAACACTTTAGTGTAATTTGTTTTTAAAAATACCGTTGTTAAAATTTTTGGTTTAGTAAACATGAAAAACATCTTTGTCCTTAGGATGGTGAAACACCACTTATAAAGGCCACGAAGATGAGAAATATTGAAGTGGTTGAACTTCTGCTAGATAAAGGAGCTAAGGTGTCTGCTGTAGATAAGGTAAAAAAGGAGATAAAACCCCACAAACTCATACAAGTAATTTCTATGTAGAGGTAATATTTTGGATCACAATGTTTAGTTTGACCAGTTTTGTCCATTTATGCTTATGAGTGTTAAGGTGTATTTTTGTGGAGAGAAGGGATACTTTGAGTGGTTATGTGTATGATTGCAAAATTGTATTGTCTTTTCAGTTAGTTTTAGTATGTTGTGTCAAAATAGGGAACTAGTGTGATAAAAATCTGTTTGAATTTCTTTTTATATTAGTTGTAATAGTCCGTTGTTGGACTAATATTGAGCCCTTTCCAACTTAGTGTAAGACCTGTGGAGTTTGTGTTCCACAGGAATAGCCTTCAGGAACCCGAGGCCATCTCCAAATTGTGATAAGGCATTGAAGTGGTATGTTAGTGGAGGATATATGTATTACATTTAATTACTTACAATCAAAGAACACTTAAAGAACGTTTTGATTGTGAACAAGTCATATATTAATTTGATTAAAGTTATTCCCTAGGGACTTTGATAAAGTAACATTCTGTGTGTTACTTTGTATTTTGAGAGGGGCAGCTACGTGGCAGAGTGGATAGAATGCTGGGCCTGGAATCAGGAAGACTCTTCTTCCTGAGTTCAAAGTTGACCACAGACACTTACCAGCTGTGTGACCCTGGGCAAGTCACTGACCCCTGTTTGCCTATTTCTTTATTTGTTAAATGAGCTGGAGAAGGAAATGGCAAACTACTTAATTATCTTTGCCAAGAAAACCCCAAAAGGGGTCATGAAGAGTCAGACACAACTGAAAAACAACTAGACAACAAAATTGTATGCTGAGAAAATAGCAAGCACTTGATAAATACTTGATAAATTGAACAGTTCATCTGAATGTTAGCTTTTTCAATAAATATTTACTCACCTCTTTTGTAATGTGTTATTTGTCACTTCTTGCCTCCACCTCAAATTACCTTTCTTCCTTTAAGATGCATTTAAACACAATCTTCTGCATGTAGATACCTTTCCTGACCTCTGCAACTTCTAATGCCCTTCCTCCCAAACTACCTTGTATTTAACTACTTTTTAAGAATAGGAATTTTTTTTTGTTCTTCCTGTTTGTATTCTCAGTTGTTAAGATGGTGCCTTGCATATAGTAAGTGCTTAATAAAGGGTTATGGATTGATTGTTGGTCCTCACTCTTAATGACTTAAAAATAGGAAGAAATAGTTGCAACAATATCTGTAGTAGAAGGAAGTATGTAATTAGTGATATATGTGTGGTACAGATTAAGATTTTAAAGATTCAGAGGTGTTACTCTTGTTTAGGAGAATCAGAGAAGGCATTTGAGCTTGGCCTTAGAGGATGGGTTAGTTTAGATTGTGATAGGGAAAGATGGATCAGGGCATGGCCATATGCATTCCAGGCAAAATGGACAACTTGAGAAAGGTATGAAAGCTCCGTGTAAGTTAAAGAAATGGTAAAAGTAGTCTAAATCGAACTAAAGAATTGGACCTATATCAGAAAGTAGCATTAAATGAGTCTGGGAAAGTAGATTTGTACTGGATTGTGGCGGAACTTGAATACTAAGGAATTGAATTTAGAATTTATTTGGTAGACATTGGTTTTATGAGGGGACGACAAATGTAATCAAAGTGGTGGCTATAGAGTCTGGGAACTATGCCCACTACTAGGCATATGTCCCATGGAGGTCAAGAAAAAAGTAAACGTTCCGTGTATACCAAAATATTCATAGCAATACTTTTTTGTGGAAACATGGAATTCAATGGGGAGGCTGTTTGCAGTAGGCTAGACTTGACCTCTCAAACTCAGATGTTAATTGCAGAAATAGGGAGGACTTCCCAGTTGTCAAATACTGGTTCCTCAACCCTTTGTCCTCTACTGTTTGTTGCAGCAAATTAGCTTCCCTGGAATTGTATTCTTCTGGTTCCCTTCCTACTTCTCTGGCTATTTCACTGACTCCTTTTTGAGAGATTATAGACTAGCCTCCGTGATAGAATGTGAGCTCCCTGAGGGCATGGGGCTATTTATACTTCTTTGTCTTTGTATTTCTAATGCTTATTGTAGTCCTTGGCACATGGTAGGCATTTAATAAATATTTGTTGATTGATAGTAACTACCTGCCCTCCCTCTAATTCCTGCCCAACAAACAAACAAACAAACAGCCCACAAAACCCTTCTTTAGATATTATTTCTGGTTCTTTTTGGTCTGTTTTTTGAGAAATCTGTCAATGAAAGGAAGGAAAATTTTTTTAAATTATAGGAGAGACATAAATATATTTTTAGGGAAAGGGAAAGGAGCCAGTAGAGAAAGAAAGAAAACTTGTAAGATGAAAACTTGGACTAGAGAGAGGGATTAATTGAAGGAACAAGGTTTGGGAGAAAATTAGAAAAGATGGAAACCAGTGAACAGATGGAAAGAAAACATCTTTCTCTTAAAATGGAGGGAAAGATTAAAGTAGATAAAATTAGAGATTTTTTAAATGGCTAGGGGAGGGCATGATGATAGATGGAATAGGAAGAAGGGTACAAAGAGCTTTTGCCAGATAGTGTCAGTAATGTAGGAGATGACTTTCTCTGGTGATGAGGAGGGATATGGGTTAGAATCATTCATTTGAGAAATACTGAAAAAGTTTGAAAGAGTTGATGTGTGACTGAATTAGGAGACAATTTAAAGGAGATGATCAAATAGCAATTGAAGCCTTTTTGAGATTAGATAACATTAATCCATAGTAGATTTAGTTAACATATTTTCCACACTTAGGTACATCATTGCTAGATTTCTCAGGAATGGAATTAGAGAAAAAATGGAATTAGAATGAGACAAGCTGGTAATTGGCACAGGAAGTATAACAATCACAGAAAATAAAATTAAGTACACCAAAAAAGAAATAATAAAAAAGCAAATTCTGTTGTAGACAGATTTAGAGGATCTAACCAAATATTTAAAGAGAAATTAATTCCCATGACACCCAGCTTATTCTTAATGACAAGAAAGTACTCAACAAAATACCTTTTATGAGACCAATATGTTCCTAATACCTAAACCAGGCAGGGCAAAGCAGAGAAAGAGACATATAAAACATTATTAATAGATACTGATACAACAATTTTAAATGAAATCGTAGTGAAAACACTGCAACAGCATAGTCAAAAATATTTCACTATGACCAGGTTAGAATTATCCAGGAATTCACAACTAGTTGTGGTAGTGAAGACTTGGAAAGAAAGTGGAGTCTTTTGATTAGTGAGAGGTTAAACAAATTGTTTTATATCAGTGTAATGGAATATAAGAAACAATGAATATGAGGAATTCAGAAAAACACAGGGAGACATATTGACTGATGCAGCATGATATAAATAGACCCAAGGAGACAAAATACATAACGGCTAAAACAATGTAAATGGAAAGAAAAGAAAATTAATGATAAAGTCTCTTCAATCCCACAGACTGTGTACTTGGCCCAAGTTGGGTTTTCTTTACTGTTTTTGTTGCTTTATTGTTACCAGGAAAAGTTCTGATGTGCTAGATAGGTATGAAATTAAAGGAAAGAAAAGTTAGGGGTTGGGAGATTGTGACTTAGAATAGTAAGTATGGATGAAAAAGATAATGATATTTTTAACTAATTCACACTGTTTCTCACTTAGTTTGAATTTGTGAGGTTTGATTGTGTATAAATATATGAAAACCCAAATATTTGTCATGATTTTATAGAAAGGAGACACTCCTCTCCATATTGCCATTCGTGGCAGAAGCCGGAAGCTAGCAGAACTTCTTTTAAGAAATCCAAAAGATGGACGACTGCTTTATAGGCCAAACAAAGCAGGAGAGACACCATACAACATTGACTGTAGCCATCAGAAAAGTATTTTAACTCAAATATTTGGAGCCAGTAAGTATTGTTTTATGTCAGAGTGAGTTTATTTTTCTTTAATGAAATATGTTTCCTTTATGAAAGCATAAAGTAATCAAATATTTCAAGGAATATTTGTGTGTGTGTGATTATATGCATTCATTGATTTCATTAATCTATCTACCTGTATTATGTCTATGGAACAGAAATTCCTGAACTATTTTTACATTGCCACATATCTGAAATAGATATTCTGTGAAATATCAAATATGCAGGGTTTTAATATGGGAAAAGATGAACATTATAAAGTGAGTGTTCACATGTGACCTTTTAAATATATTAAGGAAGCTTTAAACACAATTTATTAATATTTCTAATAGATCCAGAAAATAAATCTAGGTATAAAGGTTCTAATAGCCCTTCCATTTAGTTTCATTTTGGCACACATTTATTTAGATTTAATTGTTAATTTTTTTGAAGGCTGTTTATATCATCTTTTCCTTTTATTTGAAAGGTAAATTTTTTTTGTTTTCCTTGATTATATGAATCAAAAAAGTAATAATATTTCTTATTACTTTGAAATGATACAAGTAAAATCATCTTTTAATACAATTGTGTGGTATTTTTAATTTACAGGACACTTGTCTCCTACTGACGCAGATGGAGACATGCTTGGTTATGATTTGTATAGCAGTGCTCTGGCTGATATTCTTAGTGAACCAACCATGCAACCCCCCATTTGTGTGGGATTGTATGCCCAGTGGGGAAGTGGGAAATCTTTTTTGCTAAAGAAATTAGAAGGTAAAGTGATTGAACTAATATTCATGTATTTAAAGAGTACATTTCTAAGAAGTTCTTATATAGTAAGTTTTTAGATTATCATTAAAAATATTTTTAAAGAAAAGAATTATATGTAGGATTTTGTAAAGTGTGATATAATCCCTGTTGTGGCCCTACCCTTACCTGGACGAAGTTCAGTTTCTAGGGGCTGGCCTCGAATCGTGTCTCCTGAGAGTAAGGACTGCTTTTTTTTTTTTTTTTTTTTTTTTTTTGCGCTTTTCTTGTATCCCCAGTGTTTAGTGCTGTGTGTCAGGCAAATAGTAGGTGCTTAATAAATGTTAAGTGACTGTCTGACTTTGGCTTATTTTGTCACTGTCTATAGTTTATTTTGAAACCTCAAAATACAGCTGGTGTCTAGGTCTTTACCAACTAGTGTAGTTAAAAGGGTCTTAGCTTTCCAGCAGCCATGCAAGGCAGCAAAGCATAGTAGGCACAAGACAGCTTTTTTTCACTTCAGAGAAAATGTAAAAGCACATAAAAGATTCACGGTGGCCTATAATAGTAAAATGGTTTTCCTCTTTCCGTTGTTTCCTTTCACCCTGGGGACCTATACCAACTTTAGCCTCACAAGACTACCTGAAAGGGTTGTACTTTCCTTAGGAGAGAAATTAATTTGGGGATGTAATAACGTCACCCTTTCTTTTCAATCCAAACATTCTGGTGGCCCTTGCTTTTCACCCTAACCAACTATAAAGGTCTGTAGCTATGTGGTCCTAAGAATTTGAACTTTGCTCCAGAAGGAAGTGAACCTAGGTTTCTTAAAGAAGCAACCTCTTTTGCATCTGGATTGTAGTAGTAGAATAATTCATGGTAGTAGCACATGGCAAAGTCCGGATTTTTGCTTCTCTGTATCAGGGTTCAGTCCTTTGTTGATCCTCAAGCTCTAAAGCCAGATGTGTGATCGCAGTTCAAGAACTCTTGACATTCCTGCAGAAGGTTTGAATTCTGAAATTCTGACCATCTGATGACATAGAGTCCCTCTCAACAGCAAAATGCCATTCCTCAGTCTGAGAGGTCAGGTCCCTGCCTCTTTACAGCTGAATCCAAGATCCCCTCCTCTGTTTAGGGTATTTTATAATGTGGCTCCATTGGCTTCTGCAACCACTTGGATAAGAGGTCTCATCACTATATCTCATTGCCATGGCCAGGGAAACCCTTTGCAATTGTATGTGTGAGTGAGAGATCATTTGCAACTAATTGTACAGGTACATCCTATCCTTCCATTCCCCTTCCCCAATTTTTCAATTTGCTCTTAAGTCTCTGTTTTTTGGGTCATGCATAGCTCTCACACAATGGCCTGAACCAATCAGATTATCCTGAAATACTGAGATTTAATCATCCATCTTCAGTAAGTCAAATAAGTTTACTAACAAGTATTCAGCATTCATTGCGCCCAAATGTCTTTGATTTGCTTAGCAGGCATCTTCCTTAGACAGGTAAAAGTGACAAATAATGTATTACCCCTGCAACCAGAAGTGGATCAGACAATCTCGATCACATTTATCTCCTTTTGAAACAGATCGAGACATACTTGATTATGAAATAGGCAAAAATGCTTGTGTGGAATTGTATGCACATTGGTGAAGTGGGAAATCTATCAGTCTCAAAAAATTGGAAAGTGAAGTAATTGACCCAATTGGTAGATTTGCACCTGCTTTCAGGGTGCACTTTCAAAAAGTTATCACACCACGAGTTTTTATAAGCAAGTTGTTTTGTTGTAAATTTCTTGAAAAAAGAAAAAAATTATGTAGAATAAGACATTAAAAATTACTAAAATGTTCTTATTCTTTTTTTTCAAGGTGTTTTACAAATGTTTTGAAAACATTAGAACTTCAAAATGACTTTGTATCTGCTCATTTCTATTAAGAGTTTTATCCTATTTCTCTTTCAGATGAGATGAAAACTTTTGCAGGACAGCAAATTGAACCTCTTTTCCAGTTCTCATGGCTTATAGTATTTCTTACACTGTTGCTCTGTGGAGGGTTGGGTTTATTGCTTGCGTTTACTGTGGACCTGAAACTTGGAATAGCAGTGGCATTAAGCTTCTTGGCACTCCTGTATATATTCTTTAGTAAGTCTTTGCTTTTATTCTTTTCACACATTGAAAAATGTCAGACTTCATTGTTTTACTTAATAGGATTGACATTTTGATTTTTTTCATTGAAAGTTAAAAATACTATTGCTTGAAGTATAATATATGAATATAATAGTATGAGTGGAAAAGTTTAACCACAAATTACATACACTTGCCTACTAATTCTTTTTATCACACTAATTGGCTTGGGGAAAAAAGCTGCATTCTTATTGGTTTTTGTGTCTTTCCAAATCTATATAAAATTTCTTTTACCAGACATAAGCATTGTTATAAAAAAGCCTCTTAGTTATATAGTGCCTCCATTAGACTTTATTTAAATAAAATTATGTCATTATATTTTTCTAGTTGCAGAATTGAATAGCTCCTTTAGTATAAAGGAGCACTGGCTATCATTGCGTTTTTCCTGTAACAAGGGAGATAAAAATAATTCCTAATCCCTCATCTGGGTGTTCTTTGTTTGCAAGAAAAGAACAGTTTGTGTATTCTACTACCATATGAACCACAGATTTGTTTTTCTAACTATGTTTTCCTTAGGCTAGCATTAAATGAGCCTATAGACCCTAAATGTATACCAGTGAGAGGTGGGTGGTGGGTAGTATAATTGGATGGCTCTGGATTATGGCATTTGGTATGGGGAAGTTGGCATTAAATTTAAAACTAACATAGTACATTATTCACTTGTGAGTCATTGAATTAGAGCTGATTACTTGAATTTTATTCCTTAGGGAAAGGAATGTGAAACTGATTACCTAAAACAATTTTATTGGGTTTATTTTTACATTTCAGCTGTAATTTACTTTGGTGGTCGAAGGGAAGGGGAAAGTTGGAATTGGGCCTGGGTGGTAAGCACTAGGTTGGCAAGACATATTGGCTACTTGGAACTCCTCCTTAAACTGATGTTTGTAAACCCCCCTGAATTGCCAGAGCAAACTACAAAAGCTTTACCTGTCAGGTGAGCTGAATGATTTTGTTTCTCATTTCTTTCTTGGAAATACCATGCTGTGTTCAGTCAAAAATAAAAATGTAATGGATTAAGGAAAAATTTCTCTTCTGGTTATGTTAACTTTTTAGTATGTACAAAATTCTGTGGAACGTAAAATTTCAAAAGTTTGGTGGTTTAATAGCTAAATCTGTTAATAATTTGTTGCCATGAAAGATTTAATGTTTTATTAGTTTGCAGATATTTCCTAATTAACTTAATAGGAAGTTGATAAAGAATGTATATTCATAATTATATTCACATACATATTTTAGACATGGAAACTCAGAAGCAAAGAAGCCTTAGTCTTCTCAGAAAATCAGCTAGACTTGTAACAGAAACTAAATTATGAGTAATTTTATTTAGAATTCTCTTTATTTTCTTAAATTTATTTTGCAGTTTGAAAGTATTATTTACCATGAATTTTTAACCATTAGACTTGTTCCTTTTGGCTTCAGAGCATAGATCAAAGAACAATAGAGGAAAGTTGCAAAAAGGCGAATCAGCCTTGAGGTCAGGGAAAACATATTTGTTATCATGAGCTGTCTGAAGGCAGAGTGAGGGGCTTCAGGAGGTGACGGGATGGGTTTCTCCAGTTGGCAGGATGACTACTTAGGATCACATTACCATAAAACTAGAGCCATGGGCACTTCAGAGGCCATCCAGGCCAACTCATGCCGAACCTGGAATATTTATGGCAAGATGACAAACGCGTGGTTACCTAGCCTTTGCTTGAAGATAATCAATATGCAGAATGCATCTCCCATCTTCCACACCCCGCCCCTTCCCGCCACTGCCTACTGTGCAGAGACAACTCATTCCGCTTTGATTACATAAAGAACTGAAGAAAGATTCACCTACTTTTTCAGGTGGAAACCTAGTCTCAGATTCTTGGATACACTGAAACTGAGGGAGTAAGAGGGGCTGTGTAGAGAAGTGATAATAGACAGATGGGACTGGGGCTTATTATAATGTTGATCAATTTGAAATTATGTGAAAAAAGATACTGTACTATTTATATCCTTTGATGTAGTGATCATATTCCTCATCTTATACTATAAGGAAATGAAAAAAAACAAACAGAAATAAACCTCCAATATATAACAAAACATTTACAGCATTTCTCTGTGTCAACCAAAAACTAAGTAGGTGCCTGTTAATTAGTGGAATGACAGAACAAATTATAACATGAATGTATCGGACATTCTTGTGCATTAAGAAATGAATTTCAGGGGCAGCTAGGTGGCGCAGTGAATATCTCTGACCTTGGAGTCAGGAGGACCTGAGTTCAAATTCAGCCTCAGACACTTGATATTTACTAGCTGTGTGACTCTGGGCAAGTCACTTAACCCCGATTGCCCCACCAAAAAGCAAAAAAAAAAAAACAACAAAAAAAAAAGAAATGAATTTCCTCCCCGTTCCCAGCATGTTCTCTCTGCCAATATTTATCTGCCTCTTGGATTTAAGACGCAACTAAAATTCTACTTTCTTCAGGAATTCTTTCCTGATCAGTCTTAATTCTGGTGCCTTCCCTCCATTGATTATATCCGATTTATACTGTGTATGTGTGTGTATAGATCTACCTGATTTTCTTCCTATCTCTCTATCTAGCCAGCTATCTAGCTTGCTCATAATTGTCTGCATGTTGTCTCTTCCGTTAGACTTTGAACTCCTTGAGAATAGGAGTCTTTTGCCTTTCTTTGTGTCCCAGCACTTACCACAGTCCCTGGCATTTAATAGATGCTTAATACATGTTTATTGATTACTGGATGAATGTGAGGAATTCAGAGAAATTTTGGAATATTTGTTTGGATCTGATGCAAAGTAAAATAAAGAGAACCAGAAGAACAATAAACACAATTCCCATAATAATGTACCTGAAAAGAATAATAAAAATAAAAGTAACTCTAAGTAAGTATAATAACCAATCTAGTCCTGAAGAACAACTAGTAAAGCACAGCTTCTTTATCTAAGCATAGAGGTATGGAATCATGGGGACAGAATGTTGTATACATTGTCAGACGTAGTCATTGTATCAGTTTTTATTTTTGGCTTAACTGTTTATCTTTGTTGAAATGTATGGTTCAGTTCCAGAGGTGGGAGAGGGGTGCCTATATCCAGGAATGGATGTGATATAAAAAAAGGCATTTATTAATTGTATAAAGTTAAAAAAAAATCAGTTTGTTGACAAGGTCCACATCAGCCTTTTTTATGGGTGGCTAGGTGCCTGCAGTGGACAGAGTGCTGGGCCTGGAGTCGGGAAGACCTGAGTTCAAATATGGTCTCAGATATTTGCTAGTTGTTTAACCCGGGGCAAGAAGTCACTTTCCTCACCTATAAATGAGGTGGAGAAGGAAATGGCAAGCCACTCTAGTATCTTTGCCAAGAAAACTTCAGATGGGTTCATGAAGAGTCGGACAGGACTAAAACAACTGAACAACAACAACAAAAAAAACTTTTTTATGCATCTTAAAGGAAGAGAGTGACTCTGAGAAAGAAGTAAGGAAAGAGTGCATTCCTGGTGTGTTGGAATGGCCAGTTCAAAGGCCTGGTGATGGGCAGTGGAGTATCATGTATGAGGATCAAAGCAAAAAGCAGTTTGGCTGGATTGTAAAATCACTGAGTATGGGAAGGAAGAGAAGTGTCCAGTGAGGTTGAAAGGCTAGGCTCTTTAGCACTTTGAAAGTTAAGCGTGGAGTTTATATTTGATCCTAGAGGTGATAGAAAGCCCCCAGAGTTGCTTGAGTAAAGGAGTCTCGTAACTGCATTTCTTTAAAGGAATATTACTTTGGTAATAGTATATAGGTCATATAATATTTCTGCATCTTTTTACCATCTGATTATCCATTTCATAGTCTCAGTTTTGTTCTTACTTTTACCCACTCCTTGATTCTTGTATTTCACAAAACACTCTATTCCTTTATAATGAAAAGAGTGCTTAATGTGTGATTGGGAAGATCTGGTTTTAAGTCCCATTTCTGATCCTTACCTTCTGTGCCTGGTAGTTGGAGTTACTCTCTTATACTAATTCTGCTTCACTGTATATATCTAACCTCAACCCTGGTTTCCTCATGTATAAAATGGGGATACTTGTAGTACCTCCCTCACAAGGTTGTTGTGAGGATAAAATAAGAAATGTATGTAAAGTTCTTTGCAAAGTTTAAAGCATTATATAGATTCAACAATTGCAGTTTATGGAATTTAGAAAAATTGATTGCAATTTTTGACAATATCTATGATAATGGCTAGAGAGAGCTGACCTTGAAGCCAAGAAGAACTTGGTTCAAGTCTTGCCTTTGATACATGCTGGCTATGTGTTGTTTATTGTTTGGTTGTGTCCAGCTGTTTGTGACCCCGTTTGGGGTTTTCTTTGACAAAGATACTGGAATAGTTTGCTATTTCCTTCTCTGGCTCATTTTACAGAGGAGGAAACTGAGGCAAACAGGGTGAAGTGACTCGCCCAGGGTCATACAGTTAATAAGTGTCTGAGGCCAGATTTGAACTCAGGAAGATGAGTCTTACTCCAGGCCCAGCACTCTATCCACCATGCCAGTTAGCTGCCCTACTGGCTACATAACCCTAAGCAAACCATAACCTCTCAATACTCTGGGCAACTCTCTACTGAGGCTATAAAGAGGGTGTTTCCTCACCTGAGAGTTCCCTAGACCAGTGAAATCAAAGGTATAGTTCCTATACAATGTATAAGCATGTACATACATATCTTTTATCTATGTATTATATATTTATATATAATATCTATTTAAGACAATTTGACTACTCTGGTTTTTGTGTTCTCTTCCTGTAATCATTTTCCATTGAGGTGTGCTAAGCAGGTGATTTCTTCCCTCCCTTTCATTAATTAAAAGATTGTTTCCATCTAGCTTTACTCCTCCTAGGCATTCTATGGCAATTGTCATCTCTTCACTTGTTAGTCATATGACCTCTCTGAGCCTCACTTTTTAGCAAAATAAAGGAATTGGGCAAAATGGGCCCTAAGGCCCCCTTTCATATTGAATGTTTTGTGATCTTTTTCTTCTCATTGGATAAAAAACATTTTTAAAAAATTAGTATTTGTCAGACCTAATACATGTTCCTTGACTGTTTGACAATGTAAAGATTTCTTTATATTTCTATTTAGAAAAAAAGATTAAAGGACAATGAAATAATTCAACTGGTTTATAAGACTGTTATAATCTGAATTTCATTCAAATAATGACAAAATATATTTTTCTTTTTTAAAAAGGTTTTTATTTACAGATTACAATAGACTTTCTAGTGTGGGTGGAGAAACTTCCTTGGCTGAGATGATTGCAACTCTTTCTGATGCTTGTGAAAGAGAATTTGGTTTCTTAGCCACAAGACTTTTTCGAGTATTCAAGACTGAAGATACACAGGGTAGAACTTTTATATTTCTCTGTTTCTGTATTTTAATGTAATAGTTTTATTTATTTCTTTTTACATATATTTTAAATTCCTCACAGTATGTTATCTTGTATCCTAATAATTTTATATTGTACTTTGACTATTGAATTAAGTTATCTAGACATTAGAAGCATAAATAATGGCCAAAACTCTTTTTATGTATTACAGGAAAAAAAAAGTGGAAGAAAACTTGCTGCCTTCCATCTTTTGTCATCTTCATTTTCGTCTTGGGATGTATTATTGCCGGAATCACTCTCCTTGCTATATTTAGAGTTGACCAAAAACATATGACAGTGAATGCTATTCTTATATCAATTGCATCTATTGTTGGTTTGGCCTTCATCTTAAACTGTCGTACTTGGTGGAAAGTACTAGACTCTATCCTAAATTCTCAGCGTAAACGTCTCCATCATGCTGCCACCAAACTGCACAAGTTGAAAAGTGAAGGTTTCATGAAGGTAACTAAATATTGAAATATTTACAACAAAAACTCTAGCTCATAGATTTTCTAGGATTATAAACATTGAGCTGTGTTTAAAACATTGTGACCTTTAAAATTTTTAGTTTTAATTTCATTTGGAATTAAATTCAGGTACATTCCCTAACTGTGGATATACTGTAAAGCTTTCTCTCATCCACTGAGATCAATTATTCTCTCTACACAGATCACTTTTAATGGCCACTGTTTACATGAAACTTTTCCTGATTTCCTTAGCTGCTTGTTTCGTTCTTTCCTCTTGATTTACTGTGTATGTATTTGTAAATTCATGTTGTCTTCTTTGATAAAATGTGAGCTTCTTGAGGGCAGGAACTGTTTTCATTTTTGTCATTGTATCCTTACCATCTAGCACAGTGCCTGGCATCTAGTAAGTGCTTCATAAATGCTTGGTGATAGGTGAATATGTGTCCTACTGTATGTCTTTCTATTTATGCTATTCTATATCAGAGGGCTTTTCAGGGCTTTCCATAAATAGTATTTATTTCTTTTACAGTAGAAAAAAGGAATAAATATTGGCTCTGCCCAAGGAAACTGAGGCAAGGCAGAATGGCATAATAGAAAAAAAATTGTTAGTTTGGAGACCTGGGTTCCCTGAGCCTTAGTTTTCTTACTTGTAAAATGAAAGCACTGGATCATGGTCTCTAAGCTTCCTTCCAGTGGTGAATTCTTTAATTCCAAGTACCTTGATCATAGCTTTCAGGTAGACTAAAGATGTATAAATTATCTCTCTTTGATCTGTTTTCCTGGTCAGTTGTTTTCCTGTCAGATATTTCATCTTTTCTTCTATTTTTTTTCAGTCTTTTACTTTGTTTTGTTATTTCTTGATATCTCATGGAGTCATTAAATTCCATTTGGCCTATTCTAATTTTTAAGGCATTATTTTCTGCAGCAAGGTTTTGTACCTCTTTTATCAAGCTATTGATTCTCTTTTCATAACTTTCTTGGTTAACTCATTTCTTTTCCCATTTTTCCCTCTACCTTTCTTATTTGATTTTTTTACGTCACTTTTTTTTTTTTAGCTCTTTCACTCTTCTAGGTATTCTTTTAGAGCCTATGTCCAGTCTGCATTTTTTTCCTTGAGGTTTTGCTTATGGATATCTTCAAGTCATTTTTTCCTTCTATGTTGTCTTGAGTTTCCCTGTCACCACAGAAACTATGGTCAACTTCTTCTTCTTTTTTTTTTTTGTTTGCTCATTCTTCCAGCCTACTTCTTGACTTTGGACTTTATGTTAATGTTGGCTTTGCTCATTTCTGGGGGGGATGTGGGATATCTGATCTGAGTTTGTCACTTTCACACCTCAATCTGGGGGAACCTGAAGTTTTTAGTGCTTCTAAAGTGATGTGATCCAGGGAGAGGTCTTTTCCTAGCCCTCCTTGTCTGAATTCTGGAAGTCCCTGACCCAGATTTGGGTTTGTTGGCTTTTGTATAGTTGAGTTTAAGTAGACTGTGGCTGAACTCAGTCACTGTTAGTCTGTTGTGAAGTTCTGCAGTTTCAGAGAGACTGAGCTGCTGGCTGCCCTTTGATCTTAGCTCCTGCCCTGGTTTTTCCATTGTAGTCTTTGTTCTGGTCTAAAAGTTAGAACTGAGTCATTTCTTTGATCTTGGGCTCAGAGCCACACAAGCTCAGTTTCTGGAATTTGTGCTTATTATTCATCTAGGGCCTTTTGCTTGGTAATAGCTATTGTTCTGCATTCCTGGATCTGTGACCCACAACTAGACATTGGGTGACAGAGCTGCCAGATGGCTCCTGCCCCCACCACTAGTTGAGGAGTCTCCTGGGATTCTGCCTTGGTGCTTGCTCCTGTCTTGCTGCCACTACCATCACCCTGTACTCCTGACCAGCTTCTACCTTAGCATCTGTAGACTTTTTTGTTTACCTTCCTAAGTTGCCCTGGGCTGGAAAAATGACTCACTGTGACTTTTTCTTGGCTTTCTGTCAGTCTGGCATGTTTTCTAAGTTATTGTGGAGGAGTGTGTGTGTATGTGTTGATAGAGCTAGGCAAAAATGCCACTCTGCTATCTTGGCTCCACCCTCTAAATAACTTAATCAAAGTAATGTAATATCATGAATGAAACCAGAATTTGAAGCTAGGTTTCTAGACTCTTGAGTCTGTATTTGTTTTACTGGAGTATTTTGCATTAATATTAAAATAAAAAACAGCTTTCTTTTATGAAATATTTCATTATAACTTAAATGCTTTCTTTTGAACAGGTTCTGAAATGTGAAGTGGAATTGATGGCTAGAATGGCAAAAACCATAGACAGCTTCACTCAGAATCAGACGAGACTAGTGGTCATCATTGATGGGCTGGATGCTTGTGAGCAAGACAAAGTCCTACAGATGCTAGACACAGTATGTTTTTAGTCATTTTAACTTATTGAAAGAGTACTTGGTGATTGACCATAGAGGCCGAATTTGATATTATTTTAATTGAAGTAAATTTGGGAGTTTTGCATTAAGTAGATGCCACAGGGTGTATTATGTTTCCTTTTTTATTAATAGTTTTTGTGAGTAATTTTCAGCTCTTTACATGGTTTTGATTTATCAGTAGTAATAAAAGATAGCATTTGTTAGGTGGAAGCATCAAGCTCAAATATTTAACATTACAAAAACAGATCTTATAGAAGATATGACAGCTGAAAAAGCAGTATAATAAAGAGCAGTGGATTTGGAGTCAGAGGAGACATACTTGAATTTTCGCTTTGCTGTTCACTAACTCTGTGACCTTGGACCAATCATTTAACCTTTTAGGGCTTCAGTTCCCTTATCTGTAAAATTAAACTATTAGACTAGATGGCCTCTAAGTTCTTGTCTAATCTTATAACTTATATTTTAAGTCTAATGAGGATGTGTGATAGAAATGGTGAAGGTCTTTCTCTAGGGGTTTCTGTCAGTCACCACAGATGGTTTTGGACAGAACTGGAGGTGGTAGTGGAGAACCCCAAGTGCTGTTTGTCAGCAGGACACATTAGTTATACTTCTAAGCAGTATCATAAGGCACCACACCATAGACCATAAAGATGAGTATAAAGATACTGTAACACCATAAAGATGATGCCTGTGCTCAGTCTAGTTGAGAGAAAGGCTATAAAATTAATAATGGAAGGACCAAATCATAGAGCAATGTGTATATGGGAAAGTGGGAGAGGAGAAGTGGGTAATCTCTGGAGTCTACCCCTTACCCCCTCCTCCCCTACCCAGAAAAAACACCTGAGGAAATTTGAATCACAGTGGAGAGAAGTAATCAATAGTCAATCAGTTGACAAAGAATGTACCGGTCTTATCTGTTACACTTAGGGAAAGTAAACTATGTTAACTCTTACTGCTAAAACTTTTTCAGCCAAAGCAGTTTATACTGAAGATTTTTATAGTGAATCAGAAAAGATACACTTCCAGAAGGGAAGATGCAAAATAAGAATATTGGGAGTGATACATCTCTATCAACAGGGCTTAACCTCAAACAAAGAAAATCATGAATTTTCTGATAACTCTCTTCTGTGGTAACAAAATATAAAACCTCATCTTGGAAATCTCTATGACCAAGATGATGACTAAATGTTGTATTTTGAGATTGATTGGGCTGTGGATAGATGTGATGTTAAAAAACTTTATTATTTAAAGAATCGTTTAAATTATTGTGGGAGTTACTTTTAAAATTGGTATATTAATACTTGAAATTTTGAAATTAGAGATAATTCATGCTTCATGTGTAAATTTCAAGACATTTGTTGATTTAGTAGTTTTATGTGATTAGTTTCAAAGATCTATAGATAATAAAAAGGTCATGATACTTTTGGGAGAATAGCATATTTAGTCACAATTATTAGCACATTAAGGAGGAAGCACTGTTTCTGTCTCTTTGAATGTTCAAATGAAAAGCAACTATATAACGTCAGCTTTACCTAAACTGTCTAGCTTCCATTAAAAAACCCTATAGAGAAGAGTTACTGTGTTGTGAGGAAAATGTTACTGCAACATTGATTTGAAAATAAATTAGACAAAGTAGAAATATGACAGCTTTTTTCCTGTGTATATTTTTTGTTTAATAAAATGCAAAAAGCAGGACTTTGCTCTTAGTGCTCCAGAAGCTTAGCTCTTAATAGAAACAAGAAAAAATATCAACTTCTTGACATGATATAGTTTGAGTAACCCTAACAGGTCTTGTCTTATTTTCATGATTTTCTAACTTAAACAGTCATTGCGGGAGTAATTTAGTATTTTCAAAGTGCTCCTTTGAGTTATCTGTATAAAGAAGCTTTGGTAAACATTTACTCCAGTACCTAAGGTCAATATTAAGGAAGCTGTTTCTTTTGAAAAGCAAGCCACTATCAAAAATTATTCTCATTCATATATATATATATATATATATATATATATATATATATATATATATA